GGTAAAGTAAATTTGAGGAGATAAAGGAAGGGGAAATATATGTCTAAGAATATCAGTCGATTAAAAATAGATTTCATATTTTACTGCCTATGCGCTGTGTTTTGCTATTTCGACGAAATCAGGTGGCTAATTACTTGTTTACCAATATATAATTAAAAAAACTCATTTCGAACTTACAACAGTTTACATAGGAGCCATCGATTGGTAACTCGAAACTTAAAAATCTGCATTTAGTTAAATCTATAAGCTCCTAACCTTACCAGTGGATTTTTAGATATAAATTCGCGATTGCATAGATAATAAAATATTAGTAAACAGACTTGTCAAAAGCATTTTTAAACAAATTATTATCTATGCAAAAAACACCAATAAAATATGAATATGTATAAAAGTACTTTAAAATCATTCAGAAATTTGACAGTAATTAAAAAAAAAAAACAATTCAAAGCACTTTCATACTAACCCAATATGAATTTGCCCCTCAAAAAATAATCAACCCCCAAAAAGCAAATCAACAAAATTTCAGACAAAATATTTACACAAAAACCCCACAAACAACAAACATACGAAAACAACATTTAAAAATCACTTCTGTGACTATTTACAACAATTTATTTATAATCTGTTTTCAAAATAATTTATATTTCAAATAAATCAATAAAAATTAATGTGTAGAGTAAAAATGTGTGTCAAAGAGAACATTTAAAATTAAATTTAATAAACATTAGTGTAAAAACGTGTAAATATTCAAAATGTATTTAAAATTTTACATTTAGAAGTGTGTATTTCAATTTTAAAATGTGTAAAAATTAACTTGATACATCTCAGACTGAAAAATTAAATTTAAAAAGGTGTAAACCTTAATTTAAAAGTGTGTAATCACGTGAACGTCAAAAGTTAACATTAATACACATCAAGATAAAAATGTGTGTAAAACAAATCTTTCATATAAATTACATTTAAAAATGTGTAATACATGTGTGTAATAAATATTTCCTATTTAATTACGTTATATTATTCTGTATTTAATTACCTATCTTATTGGTTATTTTTAATTGTGTTGTAAAGCATTAATTTTTTTAATATCCATGTGAAAGTGTGTAATATCATGTAATAGTGTGTAAAGATAAAAAAACACTCACCGTGCCAATGTATTAATGATTTAATCAGCTCACATCCATCAAGTTTATCATTATTATCAGCGTCATGCATTTTAAAATAATGGAACTGCAGTTCTTGTTCCGACATCTTTGATGTGTCAATTGGAACATCCATATGCTCTTGGATATGGCTGTAAAAAGGTTAGGATAAATTAGAAAAATATCTCAAACTAGCTGTTGTCTGTGACTTTGTCGCTGAATTTACGACAGAATTCAAGAATAGTAAAATGTTGGATATGGACTTTTATATTCTAGAAATGACAATTTAAGGTTACGCTAAAATTTGGTATATTAATAAAGCCACATTAATAAGGCGTTAAAATAACTTTTTAATATTATTTTTTGGTTTACCGCAACTTGAGCAACATGCCTGTCCCACCACTGGCTGATAACTCAAATAGCTTAAAAATGACGTCACTGTCACATAAGGGAATAAAATCCGATATTTTGAGATAGATCAGAATAAATAGTTTCATTCGTCCCACTTTTTGCGATGAGGGGACGGTTGGAACTTATTTTATAACGGTTCCATCAGACACCTTATTAGTGATAGTGGGACTAAAAGGTGGGACTGATGAAACTTTTTATTCTCATCTGCACTCACATGGGGACAGGTGAGAATAAAGTTTCATCTGCCCCACCTTTTGCGACGAGGGAACTGTTGGAACTTATTTTATAACGGTTCCATCAAACACCTTAGGTGTGACTGATGAAACTTTTTACTATTATCTGTCCTCACGTGGGGACAGTGGGTGACGGTTAGGATAAATCCAACTTTCACATTTATAATAGTAAGAATAAGACAATACTCACTCTCTTTCCTGAGCTATGTTAGCCGGATTTAGAAGTTGAGGATCTGAAAAAAAATCTAACTAAAGACAGAGAATGTGTTGGCACAGATGTTGAACTAGACTGTGAGTTCAGATAGGTTGCCATGGTAACAGTGACAAAAAAAAGGTTTTTTAATGCTCGGGGATGAAGCTTATCCCATGTGTACTCCACACTTTGTTTTATATCTGTGACAAATTTCAATAAGATATGTTGAACCGTTGCATGATCGGGTGAACATTAAAAAACTTTATTAATGAATCTCACGGGAACCGTAACTATTCCCGGGATAAAAAGTAGCCTATGTGTTCTTCCAAGACTATGTTCTAAACCTGTGCCAAATTTCATGGAGATCTGTTCAGCTGTTTAGGCTACAAACTCTAACAAACATCCATCCATCTAAACTTTCGCATTTATAATATTAGTAAGAAGTAAGATAGACAAGTATAGTATAGAAATATAGATACATTAGAACCTCTAAAAGTTAAAGTCCAAGGGAAACACAGAATATTTTAAGTTATAGAGGTATTAAGTTATCAAGGGTCTATGTTGTAGAGGTTTTGGTCTCTGATGGGAAGGGAACATATTATTTTTTGAAGTTATAGAGGTTTTTAAGTTACCGAGGTTTGAGTTATCGAAGTTCTACTGTACTTACCACCGTGGTGAGCATGTCCTTGTTGTGGTGAAACTTGCACAGGTATCTGTTGCACAGGTACTTGTTGTTGATAATGTTGTTGTTGCATTTGTGGCGGTTGTTGGAATTGTTGTTGCTGTTGTTGTTGTTGTTGTTGATATTGCTGGAAGAAACAGTTTATAAGTTGAATGTTTGATCATTGTACTTTATATTTACTATTATAATAAAGCGTAAACACACACTTTGTTGCCTAAGATGTCAGCAATTACAGCATATTTTTGAATAATCCTTTTTTTAATAAAAAGCCCCACACTTAAGTCACACTTTAGGCTTTACATTTTAACACCATTAAACTTAGGGGGTAAATATTTTGGATAAAAACCCTAATGTGGGAAAGAGACCACAAGCTGCTGCCAAAATCAAGGAAGCAAGGTTGTCATGTCATTTTGACATTTATATTTTTGTTATTGAAATTACTCAAAAACTACTGAAGTTATTACAATAATTCTTTCACCATTAGATAGGTATATTATCATGACATGATATATTACTAGCTTACACCCGCGACTTTGTCTGTGTAGTTTGTTTTTGTGTGTATTACAAAAAAAAAACAAAAGTAGACTATGTGTTCTTCCAGGCTCTCTACATCTATGACAAATTTAATTGAGATACATTCAGCAGTTTAGGCTACAAAATCTAACAAACATCCATCCATCCAAACTTTTGCATTTATAATATTCATAGGAATAGAAACTTTATTTTTGAATTCAACACAAAGTCGCAAGCAAATGCATCTTTCATTATAAAAAAATAAATCCTTTGGGAAATACAAGAAACATGATTATTTATTAAAAACAAAGTAATTATTTGTCTATAGGCAAAGAGTAGAAAATTTAACAACTTACTTGCTGTGGTGGAGGTGGAGGAGGAGGCTGGTAGTTCTAGAAGGAAAAAGAAGATAAATACATTATTTAGTACAATAAAGCACATGATTTTTTCTATATTTTAAAATTAACATATAATTCATTCTCCTAGACATTAAAGAAATCTATACTAATATTATAAAGAGGAAGGATTTGTATTTTTGTATGTATTGAAATAACTCAAACTACTGGGCGGATGTTAAAATTTCTAACACCATTACTTTTTTTTTTTATAATATGAGATGGCAAACGAGCAAGCAGCCACCTGAATCCACCGAAATGGAAAGCGATCGCTGCCCATAGACATCCGCAATTACAGATGCGTTGCCTACCCTTAATTGACGGAGGAGGAGACGCACATTAAGAGGACATTCCCCCTTCCTATGCGTCTCCTCCACCGTCAAATCCACTTAACCTTTCCATCTTTTCTTTTTAAGAAAAAGGTCGAAAGGGACTAAAATTAGGCCTCCGGCACTACACTCATCAGACGAAAAGCGAAATTGCTTCCACTTCACGCCTGTTTTCTGTGTGGTCGTGGTACTGGGGGCGAGCCGGCCCATTCGTGCGAAGATGTTAAAGCGGGCTCTACCACTGTCGAAAATTACAAAGCTATGTTATCAGTGTGTAATGTAGGCTATTTTTTTTGCGAGGGCGAAGTCGCGAGTTACAGCTAGTTACTAATAATTAATTAATTATTTAGTAATAGCATTTTAATTGCATTAAATTTCACATTGACAGTTTAGATACTAGATTTACATAGTAGATGTATGAAGTTAAAAATTTTCATTTCATGTCACTAGCTGTCGCCGACGACTTTGTCCATGCCATATAAGGATAAAAAAGTACCATATAATATGTCTAAATCAATTGCCCTTCAGTGAAAGTCTGGTCAAAATCGGCATGAGGACAGACAGACAGACAAATAAATTTTAATGTAATTTTCATTATCAGCAATGCAAATATGGAAATTTTCTTTTGATATTACAGACACTCAATTTTATTATCGTAATATAGATATCTGTTATAAAATCAGAGATTTAAAGTGAAACCTCAGAGGTCTAGACTATGACATTATCACTAACTTAGGGTAGGCTCTGAGCCCTCAGTAGGGATGTATAACTGATAGAATCATACTGTAAAAAAAGTATTATAGTGACTTGTGACAAATCAACAATTTTCATCACTTTTAGAAAGTTTTTAACCAATTAGTTAATCATCATTTCCCCTGCCTTATCCTACTCACGTTCGGCGCACCGGATTTTCGTCCTCCAAAGCATTCTATCATACGTCATCTCAGTCATCACTCCCTTCTTGATCATGTTACCTTTCACGTAATACATCTATGTCTCGACGTCTACCACTACCAGTGTACCTCCACATTCATAACTAACATTATGAATAGATAATTTAGCATAAGCAATTAGTGTTTTATTAAAATTACCTGGTAATTCTGTGGCGGCACTCCTGGTGCTACTTTCTGTTGATATTGCTGGGATATTGTGCATTGGACGAATGCAGCAACAAGTATTAACCTCAACATCCTGGCTGAAAAGTTAAATTTTATAAGTAGAATAGCATAAAACCTTCTTTAATTACAACTATTTGACTTCAAATGATAAAAACCTTCTACTTTCATTTGTTTTCGTATAACCGTTTTTTTTTGGTAACTTACGAATGCGCTTTAGTTTGTTAGTGAAATAATAAATAGGGACAACTTAAAATTGGTGATATTATTTAATGTTTACTTACTATTTTAATTATAGTTTAGTTTATAATTCGGTTTGAACAAGTAAAATTAGTAACATTACACGTAAGTTATTACCGTAACTGAAGTATGGAGAATCAAGTTACCTGGTTTACTACGTGGACGAATAGTCGATAGGCGTCTTATCGATTGAACTAATTGATAACATAAATGTTTCTACGTGAGTTTTTCGAAAACAGGATTGTGAAACCAACTTTTAAGCCAACGCGTCAATGTTTTTCGGCTTTGACATTGATTGTCAAACTACGACGCGTTCCGTTTAACAAGAAATTTACTTTCGAATTTTTTTTTATAATTCAGTTTGATGGTGGCTTGATGCTATTCGTATAAAATCAAATTATTTCAAAAATTAATAAAACCCACTGAAAGTTACCAAACAACATATTCTAGCTTTACCAAAAAGGAAAGTTGACTTTAGTTATTGTTTAACTTTTGTCGTATTTTTCACAGATAAAGAATTCATCATTATTATCACCCGCTTACTATACCTCCCCACTAAGGGGCTCGGAGCCTACTCCAAATAGTGACTATAGTTTGTCTAAATAAATTAGATTAGTTTGATAAGTGACGCCTATGAAGTATCGAATTCAATTTGTATAAAAACAAACGTCATACTTAATAAACAGGTATCGTAGTGACGAAACAAACACGCAGCAAACAATTATGAACTATCGATATTCGGTTTAAATAATTATCGAACTCAACCAAAATTATTATGTTCTTATTAACTAATTTATAGAACAATTCTAGTATTGATTATAGTGTAGAGAATTTAGCGACGACAGAAACAACAGCGAAATCCAATTCGATTACGTACAGCTGTAGTAGTAATAAATATTTATTTACTCTAATTATTTGTTATTGTCATTATTAATAAGAGAAAAGTGTTTTTTTTATTTCATAAATTATAACTATAAATCTATCGACTCCAACTTCTATAAGAATAAAAATCGAAAAACGATAAGATTCACGACTGATTTTACACAACCCATCCCTACTAAATTTGAACAAACTAATGTAAATTATTTAGACACACTATAATGATACTGGACTGGTGATAATGTGTTGAAGCAAAGCAAAATTTATGCTGAAGCGTATTTTATAGCCCTCAAATATCTTCATAAATGAAATATTAAAATGGGGAAAATGAAAGAAATTTTAGAAAATGAATAAATAGTAAATATTTTTACGCTTACAATAAACTTATAAAATGTCCAATTTTATTTCGTCCTAAGGTTGTTTTACCACAGTCACTCGTTTTCTTTTACCTTCACCCTCTTCATCAACAATAAGTCCGTCAAATTCAGTAACCAACGTTTTCAAAAAATCTAATTCGTTCCTTGTTAAACCAGTAGGCAATTCAAATTGAGCGCATCCTTCGGTCTCAACCAAACTTTGACACATCTCTCGGACGCCATTTTGGAACTCGTCATCAACGTCATAGACTACATTTGTTTTTTTCTGTGGCGTCGCCTTGAAGGCATTCTGCCACATTTCCTTTTCCTTTTTAGATGACTCTTGAACGTAACGTTCAAAATCGACCAAAGCTTTGCCGATATCTTTATTCTTTGGTTCTAATTTTAATGCTTTATTATAATATTTGAGTGCCTCTTCCCTTTTTCCTAACATTTCGTGAGCTCTACCATAATAAAATAATGCTTTACAATGAGTGTTTATATCAATAATTTCGTCTAAATTTTCACACATATTTATTACATATTTAGGTTTCTCTATTTTATAATAACAGACAGCTAGATTGACAAAAACAACAATTTTTAGTTTTTTTACTTCATTTTCTTCGGTCTCATCCTTTGGTTGCGATATTCGTAACACTGAAAGCGATTGTTGATAGTTTTGTATGGCTTTTTTATATTTTCTCTTATTAAAGAAATCTTTAGCTTGTGCGTGTAAGGATTTTACTGTTCTCATTGTTACTTCGAATTTCTTCTGTTCTTCCATTGGTAGGTCATTGAACCTAAAAGAAAAGATGTAATGAAAATCATCACAATTCCTCTATCTATACTATTATAACAAAGCATAACCACACACTTCTTTGTTGCTAATGTCAGCAATTACAGCATAATTTTGAATTTACTTAGGGGGGTAAACATTTTGGATAAAAACCCTAATGTGGGAAAGAGACCACAAGTTGCTACCAACATCAAGGAAGCAAGGCTATCATAATGCCATGTCATTTTGACATTTGTAATTGATAATTTGACAAATTTAAACAATGAAATAAAATTTTCATAATTTCATGCATAAATATAAATAAAGTAATGCTTAACATGACTACTTTTTTCATGAACTAAATTCACATATTAAATTAATAAGTTTACTTCTTACATGAACTTTATCACAAATTAAAAACAAAGTTACACATATCTACTCTTTGTCCATACCTTCAAAGACTAAAAAAATTAACATGTCTACTCTTTGTAGACTTTCACAGATTAAATAAAACATACCTATTTCCAGCCTGTGTGTCTCTAACATCATACAATACAATCACAAACAAGGCAGGTTCAGGTCTAACTCGGGGAGGGGCTCCTTTCTCCCCCCACGCTACTTTAGGCTGCAGTAACAAATGGAACCTAGCCTTAGGTCCTTTAACCGCTGTAAGACCTATTTCTAGACCTAATAGGACACTGCCTGTTCCTAGACGAATTTTCTGAAAAAGAAGACAAGAGTTGTTATTTCTTTACAACATTAACTGAATATTTATAATTGAATTCAATTGAAATTAGAAAATTGAAACAAACATATTTTAACAATGTTTTAATATAAGTAAACAGACTTATTACAGACAACACAACACTGTAACTTAATACTAGCTGTTGCTCACGTCTACGCCCGCGGGAAATATATAAATAATAGCCTATATTACTCACAGATAAATTACCTTTCTGATGGTGAAAGAATTTTTAAAATCGGTCCAGTGGTTTTTGAGTTATTTTAATACATACAAAAATACAAAGTTTTCCTCTTTATAATATCAGTATAGATAAAACATATAGCCTATATTACTCGCTGATAATATAGCTTTTAAATGATGAAAGAATTTTTGAAATAAAACCAGTAGTTTTTGAGTTAATTCAATACATACAAAAATACAAATCTATTCTCTTTATAATATTAGTATAGAAGTATAGATTTCTCATTTCCATTTTTGTAATCCACAGTAATTAAGTGGTATCTTAATATTATAATCAAATTAAATACAACAATAAGACATGCAAACTAAATAATATAAAATAATAGCTTTCACCCGCGACCCCGTCCGGGTGAATTAAAAAAACAAAAGTGAGTACCCCACATAGGGTTCTTAATGCTCTTCCAGACTATCCTCTACAACTATGCCAATTTCATCGAAATCCCTTCAGCCGTTTAGGCTACAAACTCTAACAAACATCCATCTAAACTTTCACATTTATTATATTAGTATGAAGTATGATAAATTGTTATAAAGAAATCCGACTCAAAGGACCAAATCGTAAATCTTTTATAGCATCATCATCATCCACTTGCCCTTATCCCTCACGGAAGGTTGGCACAGTCAGTATCCATACATCTCTATCAGCCATATCTGAATACACTCCTTTCTTAAGCATATCCTCTTTCACACAATCCATACTTTCTTCGGTCTTCCTCTTCCTTTGTAGCCATCCACATTCAATCTTAACACTTTCTGGTTTATGTCCCCATCATTTCATAACATGACATGAGTAAATATAACAAATTGTGGTAAAACTGTAATAATAAAACACTAGCTTGCGGCCGCGACTCCATCCATGTAGAATTAAAAGAACCAATAGTAAGTAGCCTATGTTTTCCAGAGTATCCTCTATAACAATGATCGAGATTCATTCAGCAGTTTAGGATACAAACATACATCTAAACTCTCGCATTTATAATATTAAAAAGATTTACATACCAATGGCATGCCGAAATTCATTGTAAGTGTTGAATCAAACGGTATTTTTGCTTTCTCCCAATATGCAGCATAATGTAAAGTAACTTCAGCATCTCCTGGTATTAGAGGACCATCGCCTGAAAAATTAAGAGTAAACTGTATTCATCTATACTAATATTATAAAGAGGATTGTTAAAGATTGGAGGCGGGGTGAATGGAAAACGATCGATTGCGAAGTGAAAAAATATATTTGTTTTTACATATTTATAAATTGTCATATATTAAAAAAAGAACAAGTCACAATTAGAAATATAAAGAGCGTTCGATGTCTTAAGTTGTAAACGAGGTTGTAAGTTACAACCTCATTTCTTAACATCCTCCAACACCAAATATAAAAGGTATCGAACGCTTACACTACGAGTACATATACACTTATTTTATCTGTTACGTAAGTAATAAGAAAACATTAAACTGTCAAAAATAAAAACATTAATATAGTTTGTCTCTCGGACACATGGCATATAAAATCCAAAAGAGTTGAAGAGAACAAACTTAACAACTGCAACCCTGCGATCTAAGAAAAAAAACATAAAACACATAAGCAAAATATTAAACACCGTATCTACAAGGTATCTTAATAACTCTCCCACTTGTAGACAATCATTCAATGATCTACCATTTTTATCTTTTGCCGAAGCATCAAACACCGGTCGCAGTTTAGTTGTTAAACTAGTCTCCTTGGATACTGTTATGTGAGGTAAGTAATGTACATCATCCTTCTTACAATTTTGTGAAGGGACAGCCTCACTAACAGGGACAGTCTCCTTGAAACTCTTCAAGACCTCCTCTTCTTTTTCCTGTTTGGACTGTACGTGCACAGGGTCATTAATGCCTAAAATCTCAAGATTACAAAAATCTGACATACTCTGTGAACAAAATGAAGTTGTGACGACATTGGCGTTTATTGTATTATCTTGCACTTTACCTTGTAATGTCCAACCGAGATTCGTCTTAAACGCTGTTAAACCATTTCCAAGCTGTACCAAATTGTTAGTGAGCAATAAACCCGAATAATCAGCACCTATCAAGAGACCTATGTCTGCATTCATATCTACGTCTGTCAATTCGATTTGGTTCTGTTTTAATACATTAAGAATATGCTTATTATTTACATTAATGTTAGGTACATTTGTACAAATAGTCGCCTGTCCTAAAGCTGTCATATTAATTTTAAACAATTTGTCAACACTTTCTATGTCTAAATTATAACTATTATACTTTTTAAAAGACATTGTATTACCTCCAAAAAGCGAATGTGTAATTCCTTCACTATGAGTTGGATTCAAATTTAGTTTATTTACCACTTCCTTTTTAATATAAGAGCGTTGCGAGCCATTGTCAAATAATGCTCTGACATTCACATATTTATCGCCATGACGTACATTGACAGCAACTGTCTGAAGTAATGTTGTAGTTCCTATAGCTGTTTGAGTCGCATAATTCTGAATTGACATTGTAGGCTTATCCGCTTGTTTGTGGCCAGTACCAGTGCATAGTACTGGTGAATGTTTCCGACCGCATACAAAACATTTTATATAGCTTCGACAGATTTTTGAGTAATGTCCTATTTTTAGACACACGGTACAAGCTTTCTTCTTTTTCAGGTATTCTCTGCGTTCTCCGATGGTCATTCTGGAAATCCTGAAACACTGCGTACTTGCGTGATCTTTTCCACACCAAATGCATCTTACCTCCTTGTGCTTCTTCGTGTCGGTATTAACCGTTAGGCAGGCTACTGTTGGCTTTGAACAGTGAGAGCGGACGCTAAAATCATTAGCTAGCGAAACACGTTGGTCGGCTTCAACTTCTTTTCTTAGAAAATCCAGTAAACTCGCAAGTTCGTCCGTGATTATATCCGGTTTATTTCTTTGCCAAATTTTAAGTATCTCATCCGGAAGAGCTGACTCAACCAACGGTAAAAGAAAAGGTGAATACTCACCACTGGTTACATTTAGCACTTCGAGTGAACGTAAATGGCTTGACATATTATCATATAACGAAGTGGAATCATAATCCTTTTTGTTTAATATTAATTCCAATAATTCACGGATATAAAATTGAATAAGCAAATCTTTTCTTGCATATCGCGCCTTTAATTCTTCCAGACATATCTTGTAACTTTTATTTATAATGGGAAAGTTTTCTACGAACCTTCTAACATCAGAGTCTGGTTGCATGTTCTGGCACAAAAATTGTAGTTTTTCGCAGTCTTCTATAGCTGGATCGCTATCGATTTTTTTAAATTGCCCCCAAAACGTTAACCAGTTTTTAATGTTACCGTCGAATTTTTTCATCTCTAGGGTTGGCAATTTAATCTTACTTCTCTGCTCTAGGTTTTCGCATTTACAGAGAGCCTTGTACGTAGATTCAAGAAGGTTCCATCGTGATAGGTATTCATGTCCTTCATTTAACTCCTTCTCGAAATTTTCATCTTCGAACGGCTCGGACGCCATGATAATTTCTTTTATTTGGTCGTCATATTTCTTCAGCTGTTCGAAAACATCTTTTATCGTACTGTACTCTGCATGCACTTGATTAATTTTGCTTGTATTGTCTTTTACAGCACATATTAGGGAATCAAGCGCATTTGCGGACTTCGTAAAATATCTTCTCGTTATAGTTCTCACCCTGCTTATTTTTTCCATCTTTATGTATCCTGGCAGGGTCGCCACATGTTAAAGATTGGAGGCGGGGTGAATGGAAAACGATCGATTGCGAAGTGAAAAAATATATTTGTTTTTACATATTTATAAATTGTCATATATTAAAAAAAGAACAAGTCACAATTAGAAATATAAAGAGCGTTCGATGTCTTAAGTTGTAAACGAGGTTGTAAGTTACAACCTCATTTCTTAACAAGGATATTATGAAGAGGAGAGAGGAGAGGAAGCATTGTATTTATGTATGTATTGAACTCAAATACTACTGAACTGATTTAAAGAATTCTTTCACTATCATAAAGGTATGATGTAGCTGAGTAACATAACTAGTAAACTATATTAATATAACTAGTTGTTGACGGCGACTTCGTCCATGCAATATTAAGATAGAAAATGCCTGTCTATGTCAGCGAAAATTCACAGTCACCCTTCAGTGAAAATCCGATCGAAATTAGCACAGCTTTTCCGGAGATTACTTGAAACAACTGCAGCTTGCAGACAGACAGACAAAAAAAAATTAAAATGCGATTTTTGATTGCAATCTTCATGAAATGTAGAATTTTTTTTTGATCTTAGAGACACTCCAATTTTATTATATGTATAAAAGATATAGAGGATGTATTGTGACAACTCTAAAACTACTGAGGCGATTACAAATATTCTTTCACCATTAAATAACTACATTAAGTAACATAGGCTATATTTATTTATAACTTTTTTTTTATATAACATAAGGTGGCAAACGAGCAAGCGGCCACCTGAAATCGCCAAAATGGCGAAGCGACCGCTGCCCATAGACATCCGCAATTGCGGATGCGTTGCCTACCCTTATCCGACGGAAGAGGAGACGCACATAAAGAGGGTATTTCCCCTTCCTATGCATCTCCTCCACTGTCAAATCCACTTCCTCTTGCCAACCTCTCTTTACAAGAAAAGGGTGGTAAAGAGAAAGGGACTTAAATTAAGCCTCCGGCACCACACTCATCAGACGAAACACGGAATTGTTTCCATTTCACGCCTGTCTTCTGTGTGGTCGTGGTATTACTGGGGGCGTGTCGGCCCTGCAGTGCTAAGATGTTAAAGCGGGCACTTCCACTGTTAGCTCCAACTAGCTTACGCCAGACTATCCTCTTCAACTATGCCAAATTTCATTGAGATCCGTTTAGCAGTTTAGGCTACAGACTCTAACAAACATCTATCTAAACTTTCGCATTTATAATACTAGTTAAATTGTTTAATTTCAGGTAGACAAAGTGTGAGATAGTAAAAGTCTATACTGCATACTGTGAGAATCCATCACTCTCTATTCTTTTTTTTATATAATAAAAGGGGGACAAACGAGCGGCGTGAACACCAAGGTGGTCAATGGACATCCTCAACACAAAGGGAACTACAGATGCGTTACAGAACTACTTTGATAGAATTCTCAATAAAAACTAACCTTCTTCTATGATAAGCATTTTAACATCACCAGTGGGAACACAATCAATCATTTTGGCAGCTAAATCTTTGAAGGAATGATATTCCGGAGAAGACAACATCATTTGCTCCGTTGAACTTTCTATGTTCTTTAAAATATCATCTGTGTCACTACAAGAAACAACCAATATAACTACTACAGTAAAACTAATACTTGAGAATCACTAATTATGTTCTAGAATATTTTTTTTGGCAAACGAGCAAGCGGCCACCTGAATCTACCAAAATGGCAAAGCGACTGCCCATAGACATCCGCAATTGCAGATGCGTTGCCTACCCTTATCCGACGGAGGAGGAGACGCACATAAAGAGGATATTCCCCCTTCCTATGCATCTCCACCGTCAAATCCACTTCCCCTTCCCATCCTCTCCTTATAAGAAAAGGGTGATAGAGAAAGGGACTTAAATTAGGCCTCTGGCACCACACTCATCAGACAAAACACGGAATTGCTTCCATTTCACGCCTGTCTATGTGGTCGTGGTATTACTGGGGGCGTGCTGGCCCTGCAGAGCTAAGATGTTAAAGCGGGCACTACCACTTTCTTATATGGACAGAAAGACAATAGGAAGTTTGTAGAATACATAGTTAGGGGAAATATCCTCTTATTGTGTGTTTCCTCCCTTTTGGTGAGTTTGTAGCCTGCCTTAATTGTTATATAGATAAGAAAGTATTAAAAAAAAATTATGCATTTAAAAAAACTATCAAGCTTAGGTTGTACAAGTCATAGGTATAGTTCAGCCAATTAATCATTGTTAGAGACATATTTATTAATTTCAAACACTGGCTTAAAACCACCACCACAAGGAATTGGCCACAAGGAATTGAAAAAAATATAGCCTATGTTACTCGCAGATAAATTACTATTCTAAGTAAAAGAGTTTTTAAAATCTGCCCAGTAGTTTTTACGTGAATCAAATACATCCAAAATTTTTCCTCTTTATAATATCATAGTAAATAATAGAATAGTAAAAAGTGTTGGGTATTTTTTTTTAAAACAGACAGACGGCAATATTAACAATACTTGTAAATTACTTTAAAACAAACTGAACTCCAAGGCGACGTAAAGATATCGAACATCCCGTGGTAATTAGAAAAATACTTTGCTTGTTAGCGACTACATTCCAGTGCTACTTGCCAAGTCTTTTATAAACCTATTCCGTCCATTTCCTATAATATTTCTCCTAACAATTGATGTTTTAAATGAAAATAAATATTGATTAATAGTACAGAGACTTAGCCTCCGTTCTCTCGTGTCGGAGGCTAACACCCACGTTGGGTTGCTGCGCCAACGCAGTAAGTAAGTAATAGCACAGAATAACAATTTTTAAGAATACAGAATATATCAAAAAGCAACAGTAATAGTTAAGAATATCAGTGTCAAGGGCTTCTTTTTTTTTAATAGCAGCATTCCCTGTCCCCCTACACATTTTTTAGTCAAGGACCTGGAGAGCAGGTGTATAATTATTTCTTTATGAAGATTAAAACTTATTCTACATTAAAAATAACCATATGCGGCTTTAATGCCTTAGATGAAGATGATACAGTTGGTCAGTCTATATTTACTCTTTGGATTATATTGTCACACTGGCCACCGAGAAAGACAAATTAAAAATGTAATAAAAAGCAAAGTACGATTTTGTTGTGTAAAACAAGTGAAAGATGTTATTTGAAGAAAATAAGAACGTAAAATGTGAGCTTTTGAAATAATTTGTGTATACAGTAGAACCTCGATAAGTTAAAGCCTAAGGGAAACACAAAATACTTTAAGTTATAGAGGTATTAAGTTATCAAGGGTCTATGTTGTAGAGGTTTTGGGCTCTGATGAGAAGGTAACATATTATTTTTTGAAGTTATAGGGGTTTTTAATTTACATTTATTTAATAGTAACAGTATATATAGATTCTTAAAAAATGTTAAAAGGCTTGTGCGACGTAGCTACAAAGAGGATATTTCCCCTTCCCACATCTCTTACCTTAACAAGGTTAAATCATAAAGCTTTAAGTAATTAGGTGATACTGGTATCTCCTACCTCTCATCTTCTTCATCAGTATCCAATAATAGATCATTGTTCATATTTAAATAAGAATCAGGTCTCTTCTTTTTAAAGTCTATGTCTATGTGGAACTCAGTTTGTGACGTAAAAAGTTCTCTGCAAAAATATTAAATAATTTAGGATTAAGGAGGTAAAAATATCTTTATAGCGTCTAATATGAACTACAAAAGTGTCTACAATAAATAAGTTTCGATGGAATATTTATGTATAAATAATGTCGATATAGTGAAGAGAATGAAAAAAAAAATATATTCTTTGTTAACTGAATTTGCTTACTTTAAATTTATTCCTTTAGATAGTTGTATCGGCTCTTTTAAAACGTCTTCCATTTTGGAGAAATACTCTTTAATTAATAAATAATCAATATAACAAGAAGAAAACCTTATTTACAAACTTTATTACGAAAATTCAAAATCGATAAATGTCAAGTCAAAACAGTAATAAACTTCAAAAGAGAAACATAGAGTAGTTATCACTGTCGCCTCACAACACATGTTAAACAGCTCCGTGAAGTTAGCCCCCTCACTTACTTTTTTTATGCAAATCGTTTGAGAATCGTTTGAGAGCGGTTGAGAGAAAGGAACTATCGGGTGAGAGTTCTTACTTTTTCTGTAAAGTATTTGAAATCCATAAAAATTTGATTAATGATTCTCTCAATCATTCTCAGGATTTCTAGGATCATTTCATTATATCAACTGCCTATTTTTCGACAAATAACGAAAGGATTGATATCTGGCAACTCTAGCTCACTGTTGAAAAGGGAAATATCGAACATTTGTAGCCCTCTCACTCGTTTCAATTTCATTTTCCCTAGAACAAGACTAAAAAATTTAGAAAATTAAATTTAACTAGAAAAATTAAAAACTCTTAAACGATGTTTCTCTTCTCTAAATCATTCTCTAACGACGAGATGAATTTGAACCGTTTTGGTATATCATTTTCATTTTTAATTCCGAGATAAGAAAATCTATTCGAAAATTATCGATTTACAATAATTTTTTTTGAAAAAGTAAGAACTCTCAAACGACATTTTTTTCCTCTCAAACGATTCTCTAGCGATTTGCATAAAAAAGTTAAAACATAAGGTGTGGGGGCCAACTTCACGCTAAAAATTAAGATTGCTTTTACGGTGAAAGCAGGAACTCTCAAACGAAAGTTCCTTTCTCTCAAACAATTTGCATAAAAAAATGAGGTGTGGGGGCTAACTTTACGGAAGTGAAATTTCGGTATACCGGTCTAAATAAGGATGATTACTTTTTGATTATCGATTTTTTATCTATAGAGGTTAAAATCGGTTGATTTTAAGATTCACGCAAGGGATCAAAATGAAAAAAAAAACTTTTTTAAATCGTTTATTCAGTCATATTAATAAGAATCATTCAAAAGAAGTTGCATATTTAATGCCTGGTTATACGATACAAATGGTATAGACTGACTTTTTTACATTATGCTTGTCCACTATGTCGAGTCGTCATGATATTCATTACGAAAAGTGGTTTTCTTAAAAAAGGCATTTCATCTGCGTATAAGTCCGCATGGAATTAAGAAAAACAAAAGTAACAAAAAAACAAAACCGACTTCCAGACAATATACGAAGTCGGTGTCAGCCGAGGTAGACATTAATATTTCTACGTAAGGCTTTCTACATTTTTACCATAAAATTTGACAATTAACATATAGTAACGTTTATGTAATGAATCTACATTGACCGACACCGACTTCAATGTAATAATAATTGTAAAATAGACATAACAGGTACAATAAAGGAGGTTTAAATATTCAAGGAATTATTTTATTACTTTTTCATCATAACCAGCTCACTATATGCCCACACGGAGGGGCTCCGAGCCTACCCTAAATTAGTTTTGTTTGGTAGTCGGTTATTTTTTAACTATTTCTTTATTTATTTCTAGATATTCAGTGAATCTTAACATCGCAATATGATAATCATTAGCTTTCAAAATTTAAATCTGTTAGCTAAGAAGTAATAACATCATTGCGATATTCAATTCCATGATTTTGACGCCAATTTGACGATGGACCAATATCGTTTTGACGCTAACATTTACTACGATGATTTCTCACCTGTGTGTGTTTTTAAATGTATATTTAAATGGCCTTTTTGAGCACTTTTATATTTACATAAGTGACATGAGAATGGTTTCTCATCTGTGTGTCTTTAAATGTATATTTATATGGCCTTTTTGTGCAGTTGTATATTTTCAGAAATTACATGAGAATGGTTTCTCACTTGCGTGTTTTCTTTTTAGATGTATTGTTAAACTGTCTTTTCGTGCACATTTATATTTGCATAAATTACATGAGAATGGTTTCTCACCTGTGTGTGTTCTTAAATGATTTACTAAACTGCCATGTTGGGCACATGTATATTTACATAAGTGACATGAGAAAGGTTTCTCACCCGTGTGTGTTCTTAAATGTGTTTTTAAACGACATTTTCGTGCACATGTATATTTACATAAGTGACATGAGAATGGGTTCTTACCTGTATGTTTTTTTAAATGTAATGTTAAACTGTCTTTTCTTGCACATTTATATTTACATAAATTACATGAGAATGGTTTCTCACCCGTGTGTGTTCTTAAATGATTTATTAAACTGCCATTTTCGGCACATGTATATTTACATAAATGACATGAGAAAGGTTTCTCACCCGTGTGTTTTCTTAAATGTATTTTTAAACGACCTTTTTGTGCACATGTATATTTACATAAGTGACATGAGAATGGTTTCTTACCTGTATGTTTACTAAAGTGTAATGTTAAACTGTCTTTTCTTGCACATTTATATTTACATAAATTACATGAGAATGGCTTCTCATCTGTATGTGTTCGGAAATGTTTTATTAAACTGCCATGTTGTGCACATGTATATTTACATAAGTGACATGAGAAAGGTTTCTCACCCGTGTGTGTCCTTAAATGCAAATTTAATTGGTCTTTTCGTGCACATTTATATTTACATAAGTGACATGAGAATGGTTTCTCATCTGTGTGTGTTATTAAATGTATTTCTAAACGACCTTTTTCTGAACATGTATATTTACAGAAATTACCTGAGAATGGTTTCTCATCTGTATGTGTTAGGTAATCTTTGTTTAAGTGTTCTTTAAGTGTACATTTGTGTCCATAGACATGAGTGTTTACTGTCTTAGCTGCATGTACTTTTAAATGCGTCTCGATACAAAGCTTCACTTTAGTTTTAAATTCACAAACGTCACAGTAAAAGAAATCGTTAAAGGAAGGTCTTTCTTGAATATCTGTATTCTTTGTCTGGTCAAGTTTATTTTCTTCTATTATATGTTTCTTCAGTAAACTTTTCGTTAGAAAACATTTACCACAATGATCGCATGTGAAGTTATTGGGCATTTTCAGTTCGTCATTAATTTTTCTTTTAATTCCATGTCGCATTTTTCTATTATCAGTGTCGGTGGTCTCTTTTACATTTTCTACACTACTCGGCATTGATTCTGGAAATGTATATTTTTGATGTCTATTTAAGCGGCCACCTGAATTCGAACAAAACTAGTAAGCCGATCTTAGAAATTCATTCTACGTTATAAATGAGTAACATAGGTTGTTTTTTATAATTTCTTAATGTCACGTGGACGAAGTCACGGGCAACAGCTAGTAATTAATGATTACCTTATTAAGCTAACTAACATTCTAAACGTGAAAGTTCAAACTGCTGGATCTCGATGAAATTTGTCACATGTGAAGAGAACACATAGGCTAAACAGCTTTTGTATCATTGAAGTCCGCGCAGACAGTCGCGGGTGACAGCTAATTTATAATGCTAGGGTGTGTAAGGTATATTATATATTTACTAGCTGTTGCTTGCGACTTCGCCCGCGTGAAATTATAAAAGACTTCATTTTATTTAATGTAATAATAAATTTAATGTAGGGCTTTTTATTAAAGAGAGAATTATTCCAAAATATTCTGCGACGACATCCTACACTTAGTAGTGTGTGTTTACGCTTTATATTAGTATAGTACAGATTATAAAAAAAGTTCCAGTGACAACAATTTAATTCATTTTGTCTGGTCGGCTAAGTAGTTTTTGCATGAATCAAATATTGAAAAGTATTTCAGTTTTATAATTATGATCTTCATTATTTTTACATAAATAAGAGTTCAAAGACTCTTGCATTTTCTATAGTACTTGGAATTGGTTTTGGAAATATGTACTTAAATTAAATTACCCATTAAAATCATTAGAAACATTACATTGCTTTGAAGTAAGTTAATTATCCTTTGCATGAATATTTACATCAGACATTGTTATTGTTACATACTTTAAAACATTTTTCCAATTATCACTCATCACCATCACCACTCACCATACGTCCCCACCGAGGGGCTCGGAGCCTACCCTAAAGTTAGGGTGACTAGGCCATAGTCAACCACGCTGGCCAAGTGCGGGTTGGTTTACTTCACACAATTTAATATATAATAATAAATTCACACATTCATACACAAATAATAAATTATGTAGATATGAAATTTCGAAAATCACAGGAACAGCGGGATTTGAACCCAACACCTGTAGATTACAAGTCAAGTGCTTAAACCACTGAACCACCGACACTCTAATTATCACTCATTGCCAATAATTACCTGAAAACTTAGTTTGTTTCCTCAATAACATTCTTTTGGTTATATCATCAACTTTCATTGCTAATTTAGATATACAAATATCTAGATTATCCATAGTTGTAGACTATTTCTTTACTTTATCTGAAGTAACAGACGTTGGTTCTGAAACACAATTGGATCATGTAATTTGAAGAGGTTTTAAAGGTATAATTCATTACATTTGTGTATATACATTTAAAACATTTTTTATATTCTTTTTATGTTATGGCTCCCGTGGGATACAGTAATTTTTATTATTCATGTTTACTCAATAACACTGTTACCATATCTCATTGAAATTTAGCACAGATATTAAACAAAGTCTGTAGTAATATATTGGATACGGTAACCAGAAAAATTACATATACCCGAGGGAGAGATTTTCGTAGTTCGTTTGTTTTTTAGTAATGAGCGATCGAAGTCGCGGGGAAGCACTAGTATGCATATGGATAAATAACGGATAACAAACTAATAGCATCAATATGCTGAAAATCACAAAGGCAGAACGTATACATGGCTTATAGAAATGTAAAGAAGTGAAACATAAACTCACCCGTTTCTTGAGGCTGACAATTATGAAGTCTTACATCGATGCCTAAACCGTAATCCGTTTCACTGTTTTTCACAGAAAACATTTACTCTTCGGTGTACTGCCTGGTTGTAATTATATATAACATTTACTTCGAGAGTACATAGTTTGTCTTAATAATAATGACAATTTTGTTTGACAAACCATTTGACAATGTAGTAGGGACGCGAGTCAAATCAGGTATGACTTATCAAGTATCGATTTTGAACCTCATAGAAGTCGGGATCGATAGATTCCAGACATAACTTATGGCTTAAATTGAAAAGGATGTTTTTTTTTGGTTTTTTCAAATCAATAATGACCAACAGAACCAATATAAAGAATGAGTGTTATATTACTATTACAGTTGTATGTAATCAAATTGGACTTTGCTATGATTATTATCATCGCTATATTCTCTGCACTATCTTAAAAACTAGAATACTCTCTTTGATAAGTTAATAAATAAATAACAGTTTTAGTTTAGTTCAATAAATTTTATTTCAACCGAGTATCGATATTTCATAGTTGTTGGTTATACGTGTTTGTTCGTCACTATGATACCCGTCTATCAAGTACACCATTTACTTTACTTTTTCAACAAAGTAATTCAATACTTCACAACATCATTTATTAAACTATGTCAATCTTATTCAAACTATAGTTTGACAATTTAGGAGTTATGTTAAGTAAAGTCAGGTATGTATCTTTTCGATTATCGATGTTTAGTAGACATTATAATCGATTGATTCTAAATTACATCTAATGGATCAAAATAATAACACTTTTTTTTATTCCTTTATTCAGTCATATTAATAAGAATCGGGATTTTAAAGAAATTCACGTAGACAAAATATAGAAATTGCGGATTTTGAACGACTACCGAATGAAGAAACCTATGCATTAGTAAAGATTGGCAATGAGCTAAAGTTACCAACCGAAGAGATAATACCGACTAGTCTAAAGCATAAACTTATCTTCCTATCAGTAAATCACAAACCCTTGAATAATTAACCTACTACTCAATAACAACACCAACACGAAAGGAAAGGAGTGGAAGGAAAAGTGGATTTGACGGCGGAGGAGACGTATAGGATGGGGAAATGTCCTCTTTATGTGCGTCTCCTCCTCCGTCAATGAAAGGTAGGCAACGCATCTGCAAATCCGGATGTTTATGTGCAGCGATCACTCCATTTCAGTGGATTCATGCCGTTTGCTCGTTTGCCACCTTATATTATATAAAAAAAAACACAGCACTAGTGCACCCTCTCGTACACAATACATAGTACCCTGAATTAATATTATAATTATTACGGAAAACGTTTACCATACATGCTCAATACCTGAAATAGCAAATCTAAATTCAAAATTCAAATTATTTATTAAGAGTTTGGAAAGCCATCTCTTTGAAAATAACCCATGAAGAGAGTATTTCATTTATACAATATATTATGTACATATTTGATATAATATATCACATAAAAAAAATGTCATTATACAACTAAAATACACTCCACAACGACACTACTACACGCCACATATTTTAACACCGCACCCGCTGACAAACCAATCATATGTTTTTTGCGGGGCTATATTTGTATTCTTACCCAAACAAAGATTAGTTTGATTTGAATTGGCCTATTATAAACAAAACACGAATGACTAGTTACCTGTGTGTATTCTTGAATCTCTTTTTATGAGAATTATTTTTTACCTGTGTGTGTCCATAAATGCAAATTCAAATGGCCTTTTCGTGCACATTTACATTTACATAAGTGACATGAGAATGGTTTCTCATCTGTGTGTCTTTAAATGTATATTTAGATGGCCTTTTTGTGCAGTTGTATATTTTCAGAAATTACATGAGAATGGTTTCTCACTTGTGTGTTTTCTTTTTAGATGTATTATTAAACTGTCTTTTCGTACACATTTATAATTGCATAAATTACATGAGAATGGTTTCTCACCTGTGTGTGTTCTTAAATGATTTACTAAACTGCCATGTTGGGCACATGTATATTTACATAAGTGACATGAGAATGGTTTCTCACCCGTATGTGTTCTTAAATGTGTTTTTATACGACCTTTATGTGCACATGTATATTTACATAAGTGACATAAGAATGGGTTCTTACCTGTATGTTTTCTTAAATGTAATGTTAAACTGTCTTTTCTTGCACATTTATATTTACATAAATTACATGAGAATGGTTTCTCACCCGTGTGTGTTCTTAAATAATTTATTAAACTGCCATTTTGGGCACATGTATAATTACATAAGTGACATGAAAAAGGTTTCTCACCCGTGTGTGTTCTTAAATGTATTTTCAAACGATCTTTATTTGCACATGTATATTTACAGAAATTACATGAGAATGGCTTCTCATCTGTATGTGTTCGGAAATGTTTTATTAAACTGCTATTTTGAGTACATGTATATTTACATAAGTGACATGAGAAAGGTTTCTCACCTGTGTGTGTCCTTAAATGCAAATTTAATTGGTCTTTTCGTGCACATTTATATTTACATAAGTGACATGAGAATGGTTTCTTACCTGTGTGTGTTCTTAAATGATTTGTTAAAGTGGCATTATGGGTACATGTATATTTACAAAGGTGACATGATAAAGGTTTCTCACCTGTGTGTGTTATTAAATGTATTTCTAAACGACCTTTTTCTGAACATGTATATTTACAGAAATTACCTGAGAATGGTTTCTCATCTGTATGTGTTAGGTAATCTTTGTTTAAGTGTTCTTTAAGTGTACATTTGTGTCCATAGACATGAGTGTTTACTGTCTTAGCTGCATGTACTTTTAAATGCGTCTCGATACAAAGCTTCACTTTAGTTTTAAATTCACAAACGTCACAGTAAAAGAAATCGTTAAAGAAAGGTCTTTCTTGAATATCTGTATTCTTTGTCTGGTCAAGTTTATTTTCTTCTATTATATGTTTCTTCAGTAAACTTTTCGTTAGAAAACATTTACCACAATGATCGCATGTGAAGTTATTGGGCATTTTCAGTTCGTCATTAATTTTTCTTTTAATTCCATTTCGCATTTTTCTGTTATCAGTGTCGGTGGTCTCTTTTACATTTTCTACACTACTCGGCATTGATTCTGGAAATGTATATTTTTGATGTCTATTTAAGCGGCCACCTGAATTCGAACAAAACTAGTAAGCCGATCTTAGAAATTTTTTCTAAGTTATAAATGAGTAACATAGGTTGTTTCTTATAATTTCTTAATGTCACGTGGACGAAGTCACGGGCAACAGCTAGTAATTAATGATTAACTTATTAAGCTAACTAACATTCTAAGTAGTTTTTGCATGAATCAAATATTGAAAAGTATTTCAGTTTTATAATTATGATCTTCATTATTTTTACACAAATAAGAGTTCAAAGACTCTTGCATTTTCTATAGTATTTGGAATTGGTTTTGGAAATATGTACTTAAATTATATTACCTATTAAAATCATTAGAAACATCACATTGCTATGAAGTAAGTTGATTATCCTTTGCATGAATATTTACATCAGACATTGTTATTGTTACATACTTTAAAACATTTTTCCAATTATCACTCATCACCATCACCACTCACCATACGTCCCCACCGAGGGGCTCGGAGCCTACCCTAAAGTTAGGGTGACTAGGCCATAGTCAACCACGCTGGCCAAGTGCGGGTTGGTTTACTTCACACATATCTAATATATAATAATAAATTCACACATTCATACACAAATAATAAATTAACTACATATGAAATTTCGAAAATCACAGGAACAGCGGGATTTGAACCCAACACCTGTAGATTACAAGTCAAGTGCTTAAACCACTGAACCACCGACACTCTAATTATCACTCATTGCCATTAATTACCTGAAAACTTAGTTTGTTTCCTCAATAACATTCTTTTGGTTATATCATCAACTTTAATTGCTAATTTAGATATACAAATATCTAGATTATCCATAGTTGTAGACTATTTCTTTACTTTATCTGAAGTAACAGACGTTGGTTCTGAAACACAATTGGATCATGTTATTTGAAGAGGTTTTAACTCTTAAATGCATATTGTCGCCAAAAGTCTACAAACAAAATTATAGTTTTTATTGAACCATGACTTTTTTTTATTATTTTTACCTTAATCTGTGACTCAAAGCCTATACTGAAATATTGATTTTATAATTAAATAAAAAATCATGCATTTAGGGGTTAAAGGTATAATTCATTACATTTGTATATATACATTTAACAAATTTTTATACTCTTGATGACTATTTTTTTTAATATTCACCACAATATTCATTATCTTTTTTTTGGTATTTCCCCAGCTTCCCATTAATTCTTATTTTACATTCATGACCCCTGTCAAATTTATTATCATTTATTTTTTTGATAATACAATACAATAGCAAATCATGAAAATCTTTAAAAAAATAAGGAGATAAACTCAACATGGTTTTAAATTTTTTTGGGGCACATTTATTTCCTGTTGCAACTTTGTTTGTACTGTAACTTTGTCTTTACTAGTCCAAAACTAAGTTTCTCTTAACTTAACACATTTTTTAAATTACTACTGGGTTTAATTACATTTTTAAAACAATTCTGTAGAAATAACAATCTCTCTACGAGTCTCTGGTATGAATTTATTGTAAGGCAAAATTCATATAAAATACAAAGTCAGGCGCATCTCGCCTCGTCACTCACGATCGTTGCGACAGACTACGTAATTTTTTTAGTCGCCCTCGTGACGTTCCAAAGATTAAGTTAGTTTACTTTTTTTTATAAATTTTAATGTTTAGATGGACGAATGTATATTTTAGCCTAAACTGCTGAACAGATCTCCATGAAATTTAGCAGTTACTTTTGATTTTGGTAATAGTTACGGTTCCCGTGGGATACAGTAATTCGATTGTTCGTGTTAACTCAATAATACTGTAACCGTTCACGATATTTGATTGAAATATGGCACATATATTAAACAAAGTCTGTAGTAATATAAGTGATATAATACATACCAGGAGAAATGACAGGGAGAGTTTTCTTCGTAGTTCGTTTGTTTTTTAGTAATTAGCGATCGAAGTCGCGGAAAACAGCTATTATGCATTTGAATAAATAATGGATAACAAACTATCAGCACCAAAATTGCGAATATCAAAATGGTGGAACGTACATCATGGCTTATAGAAATGTAAAAAGAATTAAAACATAAAAATTCACCCGTTTCTTGAGGCTGACAATTTGAAATAGTGATGGACACGAGTTGCTTTTTACTCGAGTGACTCGAGTCGTTTTTATGTTACTCGGACTCGAGTGAAATTTTTGACAACTCGAGTTGACTCGAATTACGAGTGACTCGTAACCACTTTTTGGTATATACCAAGCGGAATAAGAAATTCTTACAACAATTTTAGTTAAATTTGTTATCTTTTTAAAAATACACTATTTCTGTTCTTTTGTTGGGTTTATTTAAGCTTCATTTAAGTTGATTTTAAAGCATGTTAATTATTTAAATTGTGTAGGAACATTATAAAAATGTTCATTTTTGGATCTCATGAAAATTACTTGTTAGAATTAATTAAAATGGATTAGAACGTATTAGTAGTAGTACTACGTAGTACAATATTAAATTTCAACTAATAGTTGATAAAAGAGGTTTCTTGATAGGGTTTAGTTCAAAGAAAAATTCTATTTTTACACATTTTATACAGATTTTTTTAATTAACTTTTACGTTAATGCGAAAACGATTTATTTATGTTAAGTTAACATTGTTTTATTGGTTTTAAAATCTCCACTCGAGTGGCATTCGAGTAAGAAAGTTACCAGTACCGAGTGACTCGAGGGAAAAAAATCACTCGAGCCATCACTAATTTGAAATCAAACCAACCTAACATCGATATCGATGCCTATACTTTTTAGTTTGTTTGTTTAGACGTAGCGTTAATACACGTCACTAGTTAAAATAACCTGTAGCGCGATATGTAACTAATTCACTTGTTACGAGTCTAATTAAAAGTAGTGATTAATGTAAATGCGTTACTCGGGCGAGTTCGGCTTCGAAGTTGTGATTTTTGTAAATGTTTTACTATGGCTGGCTCCGTCTCGATTTTAAAGTAGTGATTTAGGTAAGATAGTTATTCGGGCTAGCTCGGTCTTTCGGTAATGCGCATTTGCAATAAATGTTTCATTTCTTTCGTATCGCGCCTCGACCGCCTACGTAGCATACGTAGTATACGTTTAATTTTCATACGTTGTTTTGTAAATTTAGATAACAAATTAGAGGGACCAATGGTAAATAATTTTTTGCGGCCCCGGGAAATATTATAAGAAAAACAAAACAGTAAAGTTTGTTTTTTTCGTTTCGTGTGCAACTATACTTGGTGTATGTGTTTATACACAGTAGCGAATAGAATTAGCTAGTTACAAAAATCACTAGTTTTAAAACACGTGACTCCAACTTCACATGGTAGAATTTTTTGTTCCTGTTTACGCAATTTGTATAGCACATCCTTCTCCTAAAACGTAGTATTGATAGATTTAGGTAGGTGGTTTTGGTAATTTTGAGATGATTTTGAATTACTTTGTCATAAATAATTTTATTTGAGCATACCAGAACATAACTTAGATTTAATTTTACTCTGCCTTTTTCTGCCATTGTCATTGTCAGTTGTCACAACACAATTATTTTTCGGTTGTAAAATTTTTCAAAGGCGTGCGATGCACTTACAATTAATTTCAATTCGTTTAGCTAAGTAAGCAACTTAAAGCTTATAAGTAAAACATTATTATAAGCGGAATAAGGAATTCATTTCTTCTGATCGAATAATTAAGTATCCCATAAGGTAAGCATGAAATAATTGGAACATGTTTCGAACAAATGATTTTCAAACTCGCGGTATTCATTAACAATGAAGTGTTGAATACTTTATACCTCGAATGGGTATGGTTACAATTACTTGTTTAAGTGTCTTATAGTCGTTATCGCTATTAAAATGTTATTTTGCTGATGGTTCTAGAAGTTTTAACTACGTAGTTATACTTGTTGCATCTGTGTATCCAAACATTGATGCGCATGTGTTGATTTAAAATCAATCACTATCGATTAAAACGCATAACTGATGCGCTGTAAATGTAGGTCATAACGTTTTTGACGAAGTAAATTTTGTGATACACTCGATCGTCAGAGTTGACACCAAATTGATCTTTAAGAAGCGATTCTACAGTAATACGAAATAATAAAGATTAAGGTAATACAATTATATAGTTTAACAAACAATATTCTTGTTACTTTTCTTACTATCTTCCTCCTTCTCCTACTCAAATAGCAGTGCAACAGGTTTTTGTCCTCCAAATAACTCTATGTTACGTCCTCTCAGTCACTCCCTTCTTGGTCATGTCATCTTTCACTCAATCCATCTCCTACAACTACCTCAACATCTTGCTCCTTATCCTACTCTCTTAGGGTCGGGGCAACAGGTTTATTGTCCTTATAACTCTGTCATCCGTCATCTTAGTCATCACTCCCTTTTTGATCATGTCACCCTTTACACAATCCATCCATCTTTCTATGTCTGCCTCTACCAATGTACCCTTCCACACTCATAACTAACATTCTCCTTGTACATCTCTACCAGTTAAAGATAAATGTTGGTGGTCAGTGGTTTAAGCACTTGAGTTGTAATCTACCGGTCTTGGTTTTTTATGGGTGGGGTTTTGCCTACCTCTCGTTCCACCTGACATATGTTTGGGAAAGGGATGTTGGGTGCCGGTGGAACTCTTTATTTCTTTATACAGTAGAACCTTGATAACTTAAACTTTGGTAACTTAAAAACCTCTCTAACTTTAAAAAATAATATGTTCCCTTCCCATCAGACCAAATGGACACATGTAAACAATTAAATAATTTTTTTATAATTTTATGTGGATGAAGTCGCATGGGAACAGCTAGTTCAAAGATAGTTCACTATAGCCCCCTTTTTTTTTTCCGAAGGGGAATGCTTTCTGCATACTCCATGCCTCGGGGCAGACACGTGAGTTATGTGGGACTCTCCCCCCCTAGTGGCATACCGCACTAAACCCCTCCCTCCTGGCCATTGTGTGGGGCGCCACGGGATCGCTTCCGCTTGCCACCGCGACGCCCCACTGACCGCCCCGGGAAGGGGCACTCGGTGCGTCCCAACGAGTTGAGACGCTGCACCCTAAGGCGCTCCTCGGAAGACGGCACCGTACAATGCGGGCTCGGAGAAATTCACTATAGCCCCTAACTTAGGGTAGGCTCCGCCCCTCTAGGGATGTATAGTGGATGGGTTTACATATTACCGTTTTCATTTTCAGTAATGGCGGATCCCAACCCACACGCAATGATGACATGCCCTTACAATCCGACGCATCAAGTTGAGAAATATAGACTACAAGTGCACATAGGGAAGTGTGCGAAACAATATAGTAAAGGGACAAAAGCAATTTGCCCGTTTGATTCTACACATGTGGTGAATGACCCAGAGCTAGACGTAAGTGAAATACAAATGTCAAAATGTCCTAAGACTCGGTTCTGCCCTAAGCATGAACACTAGTACACACTTTTTACAATGTAAGATAGCAAATGAGCAAGTGGCCTGAATCCACCGAAATGGAGTGACCGCTGCAAAAACATCCGCAATTGCAGCGCTGCCTACCCTTCATTGACGGAGACGCACATAAAGAGGATTCCCCTTTTGTCTGATGAGTGGTGCTGGAGGGTTAATTTTAGTCCCTTTTCCTTTCCATCCTTTCCTCTTAAAAGTGGATTTGACGGTGGAGACGCATAGAAAGGAGAAATGTCCTCTTTATGTGCATCTCCGTCAATGAAGGGTAGGCAGCGCTGCAATTGCGGATGTTTATGTGCAGCGGTCGCTTTCCATTTCGGTGGATTCAGGCCGCTTGCTCGGTAGCCACCTTATATTACAAAAAGGCGTGAAAATACATAGCCTAAAACGTGACATACTTACGTCACGTTTTAGGGTACCTACCACTACCACCCTACACTTGTAGGGTTTTTTATTAAAGAAATAATTATTCAAAACTTTTATTCTAATAATTATTCAACGCTTTATTATATTAAGTACTAGCTGTTCCCGTGCGGCTTCATCCGCATGAAATTATGAAAATTTCATTTTATTGTTTACATTTGTCAAATTATCAATAGCAAATGTAAAAATGTCATGACATTACAAACCTTGGCAATCTTGCTTTTTGATGTTAGCAGCAACTTATGGTCTCTTTTCCAAGTTAGAGTTTTTATCCAAAATGTGTACCCCCTAAATTTAGCGTGAAAATATATACCCTAAAGTGTGACGTAAGTGTAGGGCTTTCTATTAAAAAAAATATTCAAAAATATGTTGTAATTGCTGACATCTTAAGCAACAAAGAAGTGTGTTTACGCTTTATTATTAGTATAGATAAGGCAAACTTGTGTCTATGGTTCCCTTATGTTTTAGTTCCACATTACGGTGTGTCCAAAGCGGTCTATGCTGGACACCCAGTTGTATATAACAGATGATGACTACACACCGACAGTCGGTCTTGCTGCACCAGCTCCCGCAGTACCTTCAGAAGAAAACTGGGATGAAGTAAGTGCTAACATAAATACTAATGTTTTTGTGTGTTTGTAGCCTAAACAGCTGAACGGATCTCGATGATTGTCATACATGTAGAGGATACTGACTTTTGTTTTTTAATTCCATGCCGATTTTAAATAAAAAGAACACTGTTTTCTCAAATTAACAATGACCATAACAAATAATGAGAGTAAATAAATGTTTATTACTACTACAGCTGTACGTAATCGAATTGGATTTCACTAATATTTCTGTCATCGCTAAATTCTCTACACTATAATCAATACTAGAATTTTCCTCTAAATTAGTTAATAAGAAAATAATAATTTTAGTTGAGTTACCGAATATCGATAGTTCATAATTGTTCGCTGCGTGTTTCGTCACTACGATACCTGTCTATTAAGTATGGCATTTGCCTTCATACAAATTGAATTCGTTACTTCATGCGTCATTTATCAAACTAATCTAAATTATTTAGACACACTATAGTAAGATTTGTTCTCTTTTAGGCATGTTGTGTTTCTTACAACCCAGAACTAAAGAAGAACCCGCCTCATGTTATTACAAAATTAAAAGGCGCAACACCTTCTGAGCGAAGGAAAAAACGTATGGAAGGTGTCAAGAATTATAAACCACCACAACCCTAATTCTTTAAAAAAAAATCATATAAATTTAACCCCTAAATTAGAGTTCCCCAAACTTGTCGTAGACCCCTTGCCATGTTTTTCCGTGTTGTGTAGACCCCCTACTTACCTGATACTGATTTCCTGTATATTTCTAACTGGAGTGAAGTTAATGTTACAAACTTAAAGAAACACATGTTAATTTATACATATATTAAATAAATTTCAATTAAAACTACTCAAAATAATGTATATGTTTTGATAAGATAGTATGATGTAAGTAAATAGGTACTATCAGTGTATCTGTAGAGTTACTATCGTGGACCCCTATTTTCATTTCATGGCCCCCAATATTTTTTTCGCTGATGTAGACTTCTTGCAGGTTGTTAGACCCTAGGGTCCGATATAGACCACTTTGAAAATCTGCCTTAAATGAATGTATCTATATATGTGTAAAAAATTTTGAAAAAATCTTTTTTTTTCCATTATTCTATGTTCAATTGTTACCTGTTTCAATTTGTATTTGAAAAAAAAAATGCAATCAAAGGTTCCTCGAATAGCAATTTAATTTGTAATTTTTTCCCTTAGAGACCTTTAACGGAACAGTTCTCTTTGTATTGTGGTAATGAGCAATGTATCATTTAATATTCGGCCATTTTTCTATAAAAAAACTAAAAAAAATGTCCAAACAACAAAAAACAATGTTGATTTTTTTTGGTATCAGGAATCTTTGAATAATACTGTTTTTTAGAAGACAGGGCTATATGAGGTAAAGACTCCTACTGGAAAAATTGCTAGCCAGTTGCGAAATAGCGTTTAACAGTCATCTTGAGGTAACACGTAAAAATGTTCCGTAACTTTATTTCTTTTTAAAGAAAAAAATCTTCAACTTTCATATTTTTTGAGATACGTATTTTTACGTAGGAACCATTTATATGTTTAACTTTGAAAATATAAGTTCAAATATTAACGGATCTAGCAAGAAAAATGCCTAAATTGACAAAATTTCGTAAAAACAAAAAATGTTTTTAATTTTTTGAAAAATTTTTTGTACGTATTTAATCGACTTTAATTTTTCTATTTGGATATAAGTTTTATGTTTGTTTGTAAATTGCTTAAACACAAGAGATCATCTTAAAATGTGGTTCAGTTTCGTAAAAAAATACTCAATGGAATCCAGACTTGAACTGGGGTATAACTATTCAATAATAAGGGCTAAAATTCAACCCTTAAATAGCGGAGAGTTATAAATCGCATTTGGCTACAATCGATTTTATTTTAAAATCAGCCTGTTTGTTACCTTTGACTGATGTTCAAATTAAAAAACAAAAAGGCGCATATTACGAAAATATAAAAAAAAATGTATTGATTTTTTTTACTATTTTTCCCCTTAAGTAAAAAACACAGTAAAAGGTACATTTATATGTTTTGTAATTTAATTTGAAAAAATCAGGCTTTTAAGGGTTAAATACGGTCAAATTATTCCTTCAAATTGCTAAGTTCGCTTGCATTACGGTGCTTATTGAAGACTTAGCTATACTTCTATCTCATTAAATAACTTATAATTATATATGTAGCGCTTAAAGAACGAATTATTTTTAAAAAATCTACTGAAGTAGAGATTTTTTATTTTAGTGTTAAAAAATTTTTTTTTTGCTATAAAAGTTTTGTCGATATAAGGTTGAAAAAATCTACACTTGATTTTTAAAGTTGCTAAGTTCGCTTGCATTATGGTGCTTATTAAAGACTTAACTATACTTTTATCGCACTAAGTTAGTAAGTTACAGCCGAATATTGAAACAATTATATATAGCGCTTGAAAAACGAATTATTTTTTAAAAAATCTACTTAAGTTCTCTAACGCGAGATTTTGTTTTTAGTGTTTGAAAAATTTTTTTGTTACAAAATTTTCGTCGAATTAAGGTTGAAAAAATCTACACTTGAATTCTAAAGTTAATTAGAATTGTGATTTGTCATATTTGTTAAGAAGATTTTAATTTCGTTTAAAAATTCGGCCATTATTGTATAAATGTTTAAGTTCATTTTGTTACTTTCTAAGTTACCTATTTTAGTCTTAAGATTGTAATAAGTTATGTGCCATGTGATGGCAACCGCTCAACTATCTATAACTTTGGGAAAATGTAAAAAATCTTAAGATTTTACGATTTTTTTTCCGAAAATATATGTAAAAAATTATTTTTTAATATGTAAAAATGTTAAAAAACTCTATATTGTTTAATGTACTTAACAAGGTTAAAAACGAATTAAGGTCCCGTTTAATTGTATTATTTAAAAAAATATTAAAATAAGTATTTACAAGTCTGTATTCATTAACAAAAAATATTTTTTCTGACATGTATAACCAAAAAAATATATTTTTTTATCTTCTTAGATAATTGGTTAAAGTTTTCTCAATACGACTCTGTAGAAAAAAATAATGATTAGGAAGTCTAAGAAAAAAATCATCACCAGCTCACCCACTCAGGCTCGGAGCCTACACTAAGGTAACCAGAAATTAGTAACTGCACTTTACACATATCTTTGAATTTCTTTACCTATATTCTATTGATGTTTCCCTTCACCTAAACGTCAGGTTTCGAACCCTAGATCTGTGGATGTCAAGTGCTTAAACCCCCAAACCATTGAGGCTCGAGGAACATTTTTTTAATTTTTCGTTTAGCAACAATTTTTGCCATATAAGGGCCTGTCCCACCACTTGTTGATAGCTCAGATAGCTAATTGTCACTGTCAGATAAGGTAACAAAAAATGCCATCATATGTTTTTCTATGGATTGTTACCAGACTTAAAATTTGGTGAGAAAAACCCTTATCCAGTGACAGTATTTTTATAATTTACTTGTACAGAACCTTTGCAATATCTTATTTTAGGGTAATGGTTAAATGACTGTTATTGTCCCTATGTAGTTTTTTTATAATAAAAAATTACAATAGTGGGCAATTAATTATTGATGAATGTTTGTTTAGTTAACCATTTAATGTATTGATGTCTGAAATGTTGTGAAAAGTAAATGTATAAGAAATTTAATTTTGTTGTTTTTTTTAAAACTTTATTTACCCTTATTGTAAATATATGCACTGAAATATCAAGGAAATACAAGATATGTTAATAAAAATTGGCACCCACCTGCACGCACTATCTTTGGGGTAAAAATTTTCAAAATCAGTCTACTAGTGCCGGGGGTATCGCATAGCACACTTAAAAAAAACATACAGACGAATTTAGTACATCCTTTTGGGAAGTCGGAAAAAAATGATCCAAAGGCAAAAAAAAAACTTATTAATTTTTTTAAATTGCTTACTTTATGATGATTGCTTTATTTTTTAAATCTTAGTAATTTCATATTTAGATACTATTTACCTATGAAATACAAAAACAAAAACAGATTAGTTAAAAATTAAAACAAACATCTTAAGATTATCTTAAGTAAACAGAGTTGTCTATACTAATGTAAAAAGAAGAGATTTGTATTTTTGTATGTATTGACATAACTCAAAAACTATTGGGACGATTTCAAAAATTCTTTCACCGTTAGAAAGGTAATTTATCTGTGAGTAACATAGGCTATATTTTGAAATTTCACGCGAACGAATTTACGAGCAACAGCTAGTTACAGATATGTTACACCAACGGCGGATCCAGCGGGGTTTATGACCCCCCCTGATCTGGTTGGTCGAGAGCTTGACAAAATATATTTATGTATTTTGTCAAGCTCTTGACTTGACCACGACTACATGACCCCCCCCCTGGCACCAAAGCTGGATCCGCCTTTGTGTAACACTGAAACTAAATGGGCAGAGAAATTAATTATTAGAAACTTGTGTATTTCGAATTTGTTTCGAATTCAACTATAAACAGGTTTTAATGGAATGTAACACAAAATAAATAAAAACAAAACACATATATCTTAACAAATAATTATTTATTCATATATACATGTAAGATTGGAGTGTCTGTAATATGAAAATAAAAAATCCAGATTTCGGGAAGATGTATTTGCATAGCTGATAACGAAAATCTCATTTAAATTTGTCTGTCTGTCTGTCTGCAAGCCATATTTATTCAGCATAACCTCCAAAACGGCTGGACCAATTTTCACTGAAGGGTAGCTAACAGATGGGCATAAGTCGCGGGCAACAGCCAATCTTAAATAAAATCAATTATTTAAATATTCAGCGTCCATTTTCTCAAATTTATCAATCATATCTTCAGGAACATCTATCTTTGAAAGATCTTCAGCTCCTACTTCTTCTTCCTTCTGTATTAAGATGTCGACGACATTCTCGCACGCTAAACATACGGTTGGTTCCTTCTCCCATTTGTGTAACTCTCTTAATACATAATAAACACCATTACCTCGTAAAATCTCTCTAAATTCATGTTTAGAACATAATTTATTTAATGTCTCTAATATCATTTTGCGTATATCTATATCTAGTTCTCTTTGTTTCTCTTTTGGTAGATATTGTAATGCTATGGGTAATTTGTCCATTTCTTCGTCACAATAATCCTCACCACCCATTAATGGACCTAATAAATATGTTAGTAAGTCTAAATCGGGGCTGAGAAGAAATTTGTGATATTGTACATCAAATGTTAGATTTCGTAACGTTCCAATAGCTCCACCTCTTCGTATTATCGATTTTTCGTATTGACAAAAAGGTAATAGTTTTATCAATGGTATGTGTGGATTTTCTTTTACTAACCAATCTCGTACGCGACCACTTCGACTTAAATTACTAAACATGGGCGCGAGGTATTCTAAATCACAACCTTTTTTGTTGAATTCAGTATTGACGAAAACGTTCAAAAGATCGTTTAAATGTTTAAATAGTATATCAACGCATTGTTCAACGTTTTCTTCCACTCTAGTAATATTAGAAAGCACCATACATACAGCATCAGCGTGTGTTTTTTGCGAATCTAAAATATAACCAACGAAAATGTCTAAAACACTAGCGTTATTCGGCTTTAGTTTTAATAATTCTATAGACCCTTCTGAATGCGCTGTTATATTTATAAGTAGGAGTAAAGCCTTTTTGATAACATTATCGATTTTATCATTGGTGCAATCGATTATGTTTTTCAATATATTTTCATTTCCCAATAAAACTTTAACACCATCTTCTGTACCGGATACTCCTATCAAATGATCTAGAGATATCAATTTTAGATCTATTCTCGCTTCTGGTTTAAGGAATTGTTGTAATTCGTTTAAAGTATCTTTTTCCATATTAATGCTTCGTTTTTCTGAATATTTTTAAGTAAACATGTGGTTTGTGTTTACTATTTAATGTCAATGTCAATTTGACAGATTCATTTTGAGTTTAACATCTTTTTCGATGCACTGGATACATGGCTCCTGATGTAAATAAATTAGGTTTCTGAGTTTTTAATTTATTTTATCTTCTTTCTAATAATTTACCATTTAATTTAAATTGCAAAACTTAATTGTCTTTTTTCTGACAAAGATTAAAAATGTGTTGCCATATTTTACGTGGTTAAAACGTATGTTTGGATTGGGTAAAATAAAACATTCATGGAGTGAGAAACATATTTATTAAAAACACAAAAACAAACCACAATATTGTAAACATACATCTAATTTGAAACATCAATACGGATAGGAAGCTTACATCTAAGACGTTTGAATTGAAATCTTACGTGCATATTTGAAATTTTACTATTTACTAACCAATGGTTTTAGGATACGGCGACATCAACGGTGTTGGATAGAAAAGGGCGCTGTAGCTCGACAAATTACCCATCTCACATAAACTCCCCTTAAGCTGGTAAAAAAGGGAAAGCCGTAGAAATCTTGCCCAGGCGCTAGTATCGCTAAAACCGGTACTATTACTAATAAAATCTAGTGAAATGGCTTGAATAATGAATTTAGACAACACAGCTTATTTAACACACAGTGCCTACAAAGACCTTTGTATAGAATAGAGATGAACAAATTGAAAATTTTGACCCTTATGTGACAAGATTTAGAAAGGATAATATTAAAATCGTAATATGGCACTTAGATATAAGAATGAATTCGAATAGAGAGGGAATTTTATTAATATAATAGAATTTAAAACATATTTTATAATTATGTTAAAACTTAACAAATCATAGTGTTTCTAATTTCTAACTTTCTATAAACTTTTTTTAACTATACAAAACATTATTGTGATTAAAAAGATATCAAGTAACATTTACTGGCGTGCCAGTTATATTATGTCAGTTACAAGCGCTGATTTTGAGCTCTACTGGCCTATTTTACTGGCATAATGTAATCCAGTCATAGCTAAAACTAGGCCACAGTTAACAACGCTTGTTGATTTCCCTTGTCGCGTGAATTTGCAGATATCTTCTGTTAGGAATAAAATTAGTACTGTGCTATAGAATTGGCGCAACTCTAGATTATCGGCATAAACGTCACGTCCCTAGCTGACAGCCGTCAATGTCACTAGAAGTATGGATAGATTGGCGCGTAACTTGAGTCTGGACGAGAAGTATTGCTCTGAGTTAAAAGCGACAGTATCAATTAAATAAGTTGTCTAATACTACTCACTTAAAGTGTACATAAAACTAAGAAATAATTATGCAACTAAGCAGTGATATAATTTAATTTAAGGGATTGCTGTGTTTTGATAATAAAAAAAGCATTAATTTTTATCTGTTCAATGACGTTTATCATAGACTAAATATGACTTCTTATTCTAATAGAAATGCTAACAATTATAAAACAAATTGCTATCTACTTGTGTATTTATCTAAAACATAAAAAAAATATTTGAAATAGACATCGCTTTTGACTTTTGCTGTGCATTATTAAAAAAGCAATTATTATTTAACGATGTTTGTCATAGATTAAGTATGAAAGTGAGTGACACATCATTTAATACCTACGATATTACAAGTCGTTTTTAAAAATCGATACACTTATTTGGATTAACAAGAAAAAAATTAGAAAAACAGTAAAGTCAAATAGTTTAAAGTACAATTTTCCTTAAGCTAGCAACGAAGATGACGGCAAAGATGGACGTCTTCAGTATTTCAGCATCTAAAAACATTTCACATAACATTTATTTTTAACTCTACAAATGAAGAAAAAATGTTACGATATCGACTAGTACGAGATATAAAATATAACCTCTAATTACAAGGTAGGCGTTTGTGAAGTATTCAATGTAAAAACTTTACGAAAAATAACCTTAATAATTTATAGAAACATCTTTTGGAAAGCAGGCGAATGTTTAAGCACTGTAGCGCCTACACCGGTACAAACACAACAACACAAGTACAAGTTTCCTTCGACTTCTATGAACATTAAACCTAGAGCTCGGTTTAAACAGTTACAAGAAATCTGTCTATCACTGGTATATTCCAACTGTAACTCACCACTGCAAGTATATTCACGTTCCCTGTAACCACTCTCAGCATCACAGAGACAGATCTTGTCCTGTGGTGTCAGGACTCGGAGATGTGGCTGAGCGTTGCCGGTGATGTTGGGCGTACCGCACACCAATCCGTCATTACATTCGTCGCTGTTAGCGCAAACGTGGTAGAGAACTGAAAGATAATAAATTTTATCTGTTAATTATACGATTACCTGTATTTGAATTTAGAAATACAGTTTGTGAAATTGACGGTGTCTTTAAGCTTCATTCGTTTGAACAGTTTGAAATGGAAGACAAGACAATGGAATAAAAGACAAGATTGTATGAATTGAATTAAATAAAACCGTTTCAGTATCGAAGTAGAATAAAATAAATACTATTACTAGTTTTACTACTAATCATTGTATTTGCGTGTCCACGCTAATACGTCATTTGACTCATTTAATATTTCTACCAGAACAAATCCATTGTGTAGCTTTGCGACCATTTTTATTTTAACTCGATTTCCTCGCAATGACCTTGTAATAAATCCTTCGATCACAATCTTGATCTATGGTTTTTTTCCCGCGCAAACGACTTTGACTTTCGGCCAATTTGAGTTATAAACGTCAAATCGTAATCGTTTATTTCATCTAAACATGAAAGTTAGCCCTTGTTCGTAATTAGTTTGTTATTAAATTTATAAATGGAGAGAAAAATGTTACTGTTTTACGTGTTTTTAATCTCTGTCTGATGCTATTGGTTGGTTTTAAATGTAACTAAGTCACGAATGCCCTTAATTGTTTTATATGGATGTAATTTTTGTTTTAATTTGCTTTTATCTGCTCTAAAAACTATATACATAAATTGGGGAAATGCATGTTAATGTTGCTTTTTTTTCTTAGCTTTCACACTCAAGTGTAGCACTGACAAGTTTAAAAACTTGGAAACCAAATCGCATAAGAACTACAGAAATATTGAATAGAAAGTTTTGGGAGAAGGATCAGGAAGTAATAGTGTCTTTCATTTGGAGTAGTTTAGGCAGAAAATGAAATGAAAAAAGGCAAAGTAACCTTACAATTGTGCCAAAAGAAATCAACTATTTTATTAAACTTAGTCAAACATTAGTATGATTTAACATATTTTTCATTTTAAAATATCGCGAGTTGGAGTACAATTAAAGTAAATGCGCGCAGTTATTGTAATTAATAACCTAGACTGGTCATAAACCTGACGCCATGTTGGAAAGGTCACTGGTTATTGTGAATATTTTTGTTACAACTTCTTGTAAAGAACTTGAGAAAATTGCAACATTTTTAATAGTTTTAAACAAAATCAAAACTAATTTTATGATCTTTTAGGATAGTATTTTTCAATCTTTCCACCACACATGAAAGGGGAAGACAATTTGGCGGAGGATGGGACGCATAGATAGGGGAATAATTTTTGTGCATCACCTCCTCTGCCTTTTAAAGGTACGCAACGCATCTGCAATTGCGAATGTCTGTGGGCAAAGATCCCTTCGGTATTTCAACAAATTATGGTGGCTCATTTGTCACCTTATAATAATAAAAAAACAAAGTGGAACTATAAATGGATAAAATGAAAAAATAGAGCTCTTTTTAACTAAGCAAAGCCATTATAAAGAAGATATGAGAATATATCTTATATGATTGTTACTTACGCTTAGATTGAGCTTCGCATTGTCCGTTCAATGGCGGAGAATTGTCGCCGCAAAGGCATCTTGTCACAGAGTCGTAGTGAGTCCGAACGCACGAAGAGCTGCTGATACCAGCGCATTCCGCTTGACGGGAACACGGACGTGCTGGAACATGAAAGAATTATCTTACATATTTATTAGGCTAACTACACTTTGACACATAAATATTTCTTTGTTACTCTATGAAATACACTCTATTCTCAACTACTCTATGTAACAAATTGTCAATATGTCAGTTCGTTTTTTAAAAGTTTTGATAAAAGTTATTTAGACTTTCGGTTACCATGACAACATAACCTAAATGTTTTTTATGGAAAGAAAATTACGCGATATTAACAAAACTGAAAAGGTCATCGCGGTAAAAAAGACCTGAAAATAATTTCGAATATCACATTTACAACACAGATTACGACGCATAAATTTGCCGCGCTTTTTAACTGTCATTTTTTTAAATGTCAGATGCCGTGAACTTTCTGCCAAGATACTGTTCGCAAATCATTTGCATAACAATTATCTTTATTATTTCTTTTAGCTTTCCAACTTTTCTTATCTTTATACATTTCAGCTCTAAAAGGTCAGTATGTTAAAAATAGAACGAAATTCGGAAAAGTTATCCGCAATTTTCCGAAGTATAACTTTTCCTCGTTAAAAAGAAATCAAGATGATAACAACAAAGTTTCTAAACGCAATACAAAATTTGAACTTTCTAAGATTTCATCAAATTTTACCTTTACACTAAAATGTTTTATTTTGCAGTAAAAGTACGTGGAATTCAGATTTAGGAACTGTCCCACCAAATTGTAAAGTGTCAATGCAACGTGTAAATATCGAATTTTGTTCCCTTATCTGACAGTAACGTCATTGTTAAGTTATCAAAGTCTCTATCAGCCAGTTATGGGACAGACCCTTGGTCTAGTTTTATAGTTCTTAAAAATGCAATTTACTGCGGCATCATCTGCTGCGGCGGCGTGCCAAAATGCCCCCCAATGATATTTCCGCCAGTATCAGGTCTTTCTAGACCCACCAACACTGGAATATATTATAGTGGTACAACTTAGTGGAAACATAATGTATACATTCTATGTAATATATACACCTGAGATAATCGTTTCACACTGGCGAGAGGGATAGTTTTCTTCGTCCACACCAGCTTTAGTACCGCGTCAGGCCGATATCGGCCTGTTACACTGTTACACAGTGAACATGTTACTTCAAATGCAATTATTTATTTTTATTTTTTGGCATGAGAATTTTTTTTAAAACTGGCCCCTTGCTGGCCACAAAATAAAAATCATTTCAACGTCACAAAATGCCAGCAAACTCGCGTGCCCGAATATGCAAATATAGCAGCAGGCATAATAAATGATAGCCCGTACAAAGGTTAGCTTGAAATGGGGCTTTTTACCTTTTTTATAGAGGAAAGAAATAGGCACTAGCTAACGTAAATATACTTATTTTTATAACTGTGTTTAGTCTATGTAAATGACGTCATTTCCCGCGCATGCCACGAAAAAAGATTCGAATTTGAAAATTTAAAATCCGAACATTGTTAATTTTGACGTCGTATTTTGTTTTTGAAATTTTATCAAATCGGTATGTTTAAGTAATAACACCGTTTTAAAATTTCTTTTATCATTAACCTAAATGTAATTTTCTAGTCTGAAACACCAAAGAAAAACTTAGTCCAAAATTAATTCTCACTATCGTTGCATTAGTGTTTTAACAACTGATAAACCAAAATACACTTTCCTACATTGGTTTTAAGTGCAAATTAAAACAACATTGTAGCTAATTTGAAATTCCTTTACAGATAAAACGGTGGCTACCAACACGAAAGGGTAGAAAACCATCCGAATAACGAAGACCTCTATACTGTAGTTAACACAACTGTTCTAAAGGTCTATGTTAGTTGGATGCATAAATCTAACACGCTTCCGTAGTGAAAATATCGTAAAGCGCCATCTATTAGCATGGATCTGGGTTAAGGCGACTGGAAACGGACCACAGATTGTTTAGTGGTAAGTAAAATACGTAGATTAAAAATCAGATAAAACATAATAATTATTTATAAATATTACATCTTTTATACGTTTCTTTATCTTGTATTAACTGTAATTTAAGGCTAAATATTTTTCCCTCCAAAACCATCATGATTTTCCGTGATTTTACGCAAAGTTTATTGATATTTTTTTTAATTTTTATACTCTTCATATTAATTTACAAAACAAAACAATAATTTTGTGTGATTATATCTATACTATTATAATAAAACGTAAACACACACTTCATTGTTGCCTAAGATGTCAGCAATTACAGCATATTTTTCAATAATTCTTTTTTTTAATAAAAAGCGATACACTTACGTCACGCTTTAGGCTTTATATTGTCATGCCATTAAACTTAGCGGGTAAATTTTTTGGATAAAAACCCTGAGAAAGACACCATAAATTGCTGCCAACATCAAGAAAGCAAAGTTGCCATCGTCATATCATTTTGACATTTGCAATTGATAATTTGACACATGCAAACAATAAAATCAAATTTTAATAATTTTACGCGAATGAAGTCGCATGGGAACAGCTAGTAATATTTTAGTTTCTCGTCGTAATTACAGAAAAAAAAATTATCGTTAAAATCAAGTTTAAACAACACTCGTCATAAAATTTTACACGAAATTTACTTTTAAAAAAGTGAAAATAAAAGCATTACGTTTAGCCATCTAAACTAAAACATTTTTAATTTGGCTTTCAGCCAGTAAAATAAAGATTTTAATTCAATGTAGATTCATTACTTAATTGTTACTATACTTTCAATTGTCAATTGTTATGGTAAAAATATGGAAACCCTTACGTAGAAATATCACTGCATACCTTGGCTGACACCGACATTAAAGTAAAAATAATTGTACAATATAGACATAACACTTACAATAAGGTAGGTTTACTATTTTCAAGGAATTATTTCGTTACTTTTTAGTGTACTGTTTTTTTTGAGAATATTTTGTTTTTGGTGTATTTTGTTTTGTTTTTAGTGCATTTTGTTTTGTTTTTCGTGTATTTTGTTTGGAAGTCGGTTTTGTTTTTCTCATAAGAATAGGATGGGAAGGGAACGTAGATTTGATAGTAGAAGTGACGCATAAGAAGGAGATATAACTATACTCTTTGTGTCTCCTCCGTCGATTAATGGTAGCCAACATCCACTATTGCGAATGTCTATGGCAGTCGGTTCGCCATTTTGTATAAAAAATGCATCATGACATAAAAAGATTATAAAAAAATTTGCGCTACAGAATATGTGAACAAAAACGCACACGTATTATTCATATAAATATTATAAATGCGAAAGTTTAGATGGATGGATGTTTGTTACAGTTTGTAGCCTAAACGGCTGAACGGATTAGGATCAAATTTGACATAGATGGAGAACGTTGTCTGGAAGAACACATAGGCTACTTCAATTTTCTTGTCATTAGTTTTGATTGTTAATGATTGGTTTTCGTTGTTCTCGTTTGTATTTTTTTTTTGTTCAAGTGTATTATGTTGTATTGCGTTGCAGTGTGTTTTGGAACTGATTAAATGTGTATTATTATTATTATTATTACTTACTTTTGTTTTTTTTAATTCCACGCGGACGGATTCGCGGGCGAAAGCTAGTTAACTGATAAGCTAGAAAACCATAAAATATTGTATTCGTACAAGTGTAAACTAGCCTAACAACTAAATTGCTTGAAATCGTAACATAAATGCAGAGATTGCTCAATTACTGAAATTATTTTATATTGCATGAAACCGTGTTAGATATTTAAAACGCGAGTTCTCGATATAACGTGTAACAATTTCATTGTGACAGTTATTTAGTTTTTGAAACTAACTAACATTATAAATGCGAAAGTTTAGATGAATGGATGGATGTTTGTTAGAGTTTGTAGCCTAAACGGCTGAACGGATCTTCATGAATTTTGGCATACATGTAGAGGATAGTCTGGAAAATGGGCTACTTGGTTATGTTTTTTAAATACCACGCGGACAGAGTCGCGGGCAAAAGCTAGGGAATATAATAAATGCGAAAGTTACGATGGATGGATGTTTGTTAGCGTTTGTAGCCTAAACGGCTGAACGGATCTTCATGAAATTTGGCATACACGTAGAGAATAGTCTGGAAAATCATATAGGCTCCTTCGTTTTGTTTTTTTTAATACCACGCGGACGAAAGCTAGTATTAATATTATAAATGCGAAAGTTACGATGGATGGATGTTTGTTAGCGTTTGTAGCCTAAACAGCTGAACATATCTCCATGAAATTTGGCACAGGTTTAGAGCATACTCTGGAAGAACACATAAGCTTTATCCCGGGAATAGTTACGATTCCCTTGGGATTAATTAATTTAGTTTTTTATGTTTACTCGATCATTCTGCAACGGTTCAACATATCTTATAGAAATGTGGCACAGATATAAAGTCTGGAGTACACATGAGATAAGGTTCCTCCCCGAGAATTGTCCGGTTCCCGAGGGATACGTAGCTTTTTGTTATTTATAAAATTCGTATGATTTTACCACGCGGATGAAGTCGCGGGCAACAGTTAGTAGAAAACATTTAAGACTGGCAGTACAAAGAAACAATGTATTCAAAAATAAAAAAAACAAAATTCTTTAATGTGAAGTGGCTCCACGGATAAAACTTTTGCCTTTTAAAAAGTTAGCGTGTACGTCATACGTTTTCGCGCCATTTTTTGCGTCATGTCAAACGCGTATAGAGCGCATAGTTATTGCTCTGGCCATTTGAATATTTCCAAGGGAAGTATGCTAATTTCGCATGCATGTGCGCAGTTTGCCTTCCTCGGAAGCAGTCTTCTAGCCCTTTATTTTCTTTCTGTATATACGTTTCGAATAAAAATGTAAAATCCGCGCCATATTGTGACGTCATACATCAAAACAAAAATGTTTATATAGCTTTCTAAGACTGCGTCCGCGTGGAACAAAAAAACAAAAGTGAGTAGCTTATGTCTTCTTCCAGACTATCCTCTACATCTATGCTAAATTTCATCGAGATCCGTTCAGCCGTTTAGGCTGAAAACTGTAACAAACGTCCATCTAAATTATCGCATTTATAATCTTAAGTAAGATTAACCGAATTATTTTAAATTAAGTATTTTGTATTTTAGTCATGTTTCTGCTGATTTTCGCGTCTTATCTTGTTATTTGAATTTTAATAGCTACTTTTTTAGACATATTTGAGATTATAAAAAAACGAATACTATAACAAATTGTTGCCAATAATAAAATTTAAAAAGCATAAAAAAATAATAGGATTTTTCTGTGATATAAATTCCTTTAAAAACATTTATAAATACATTTAGAAGTTGTCAATCATCATCCACTTGCCTTTATCCCTTACGGAGGGTCGGCACAGTATGTGCTCCATACATCTCCATCAGCCATATCTGAATCCACTCCTTTCTAAAGCATATCCTCTTTCACACAATCCATACCTTCGTCGGTCTTCCTCTACCTTTGTAGCCATCATTCAATCTTAACACTTTCTGGTTTATGTCCCCATCGTTTCGTCGCATAACGTGTCCATACCACACTAACCTTTTGCCTCTTAATTTAGAAGTTGTCAATATATTTCATGAACAAAACTCACGATAAAAATCTAATCTGTATTTTATTATTCACGATTTCATTAAGTAATACATTATGTAGATGTTTTGAACATAAAAAGGATTCGTTTAACATAACGTTTTATTGTCCGCCATCTTGTCATTGGTACAGCATGGTACTGACTAATGAAAAAGGCGGGAATGTTCGTAATATTGTTGTTGATTTTATCAATCACTAGCTGTTCCCGTGCGGCTTCAGCCGCATGGAATAATATAAAATAATAATAAAATATATAAAAATTTTATTTTATTGTTTACATGTGTCGAATTATCAATTGCAAATGTCAAAATGACATGACATGACAAACCTTAGCAATCTTTCTTTCTTGATGTTGGCAGCAACTTATGGTCTACCCCACATTAGGGTTCTTATCTAAATATTTACCCCCTTAAGTTTAATGGCGTGTAAATATATAGCCTAAAGCGTGACGTAGGTGTAGGGATTTTTATAAAAGAAATAATTATTCAAAAATATGCTATAATTGCTGACATTTTAGGCAACAAAGAAGTGTGTGTTTTTCGCTTTATTATAATAGTACAAATGCGAATGTTTTTTTTTTATATTAAATGGGGCAAACGAGCGGCGTGTACACCTAGGTGGTCAACGACGCCCATGGACATCCGCAACACCAGAGGAACTACAGATGTTTAGACGAATGGATGACAGTAATCAGATAGCAGCAACCGATCAAGTCGAGGTTCGGCCCTCTCGGGCGCCCTTGAATCGGAATGTTAAACGCGTATTGCAACCCAAGCCGAGGTCCCCTCTCGGGGCCCCTTGCGCCTAGTCACTCAATGGAGCGTCCACCGAAGCGATCTAAGAGCTCGGTGGCCTCCCAATCCGGTAATAATAACGAAGTAACGGCTCGTGCCGAGACTCCTAAAAGAGCCCTCGAGCTTAGTTACTCATAAACAAGGTTTAGGCTAAGCGCCATGCGCTCGGCCACCTCAAGCCCGGTGAATCTGTAAATGGCTCTTCAAGGCAAATGGCCATTCACAAAAAAAAAAACGGATAGATGTTTGTTACAGTTTGTAGTTTAAACAGCTGAACGGATCTCAGATAAATTTGGCATAGACGTAGAGAATAGTCTAGAAGAACACATAGACTACTCACTTTTTTGCTACGCGGAGTTGCGGACGAAAGCTTGTTTAATTTGAAGTTTGTTATACGTATCCAATGGTTACGTTAACCATCAAATACTTTTCATATTTCGATCATTATTCAAAATGTCGGACCGTTACGAAGTTGATTGATTACACTAAAAATAACGCGTACTAAATGTTAGTAATTAACTTTATACGAAGTATAACTATGTATAACTGTAGTGTGTCTAAATAATTTAGATTAGTTTGACAATTCATTTCAAATTCAGTAGGGATGGGTTGTGTAATCAGTCATGAATCTTATCGATATTCGATTTTTATTCTTTTAGAAGTTGGAATCGATAGATTTATAGTTATAACTTATGAAAAAAACATTGTTTTCTCAAATTAATAATGACCGTAACATAATGAGAGTAAATAAATGTTTATTACTACTACAGCCGTACGTAATCGAATTGGATTTCGCTATTATTTCTGCCATCGCTGAATTCTCTACACTATAATCAATACTAGAAATGTCCTCTACATTAGTTAATAAGACAATAATAATTTTGGTTCAGTTCGATAATTATTTAAACCGAATATGGATAATTCAAAATTGTTCGCTGCGTGTTTCGTCACTACGGTACCTGTCTATTTACGTTAGACTTCATACAAATAGAATTCAATACTTCATATGCGTCATTCATCAAACTAATCTATCTTATTTACACAAACTATAAAACATTTTATAGAATACTTTACTATTCACTTTGACAGCTGACATTGTAAGGTCATTAGGGATGTGAATCAGATCGGAAACCATAAATGTGAGAAACCGATTTCGTACCAAAAAAACACCGATTATTAATTGAACTATTTAGTTAATTAGCTAGTATATCTATATCTAAATATATATATCTATATTAATATTATAAAGAGGAAAGATTTGTATTTTTGGATTTTTGTATGTATTCGATTGAAGTTAAAACTATTGAGCCGATTTCAAAATTTCTTTCATCGTTAGAAAGTAACATAGGCTATATTTTCTCATTTCTTTAACATTATTTTAAAATTTCACGCGAACGGAGTCGCGGGCAAAGCTAGTTTTAGATAACTAACTATAATACATTTAGAACTAACGAAATGGTCAAGGAAGTATGTACATACATGTTAGAATAGACATAAATTCAAATTATCAATTTTAATATAATAAAAATTTAAGACCGGTTCGAGTTATCTTGAGATTTACGGAGTGATTTTTCTTAAGAATATAGAATAGTTAGTGTTAGTGCTTTTAAAATAAATAAAGTAGAACCTCGATAAGTTAAAGTCCAAGGGAAACACAGAATATTTTAAGTTATCAAGGGTCTATGTTATAGAGGTTTTGTGCTCTGATGGGAAGGGATCATATTATTTTTTTAAGTTATCAAGGTTTGAGTTATCGAGGTTCTACTGTATATCTTAACTGAGCGCAAGTCGAGCAGGATGCAGCACCAATCAGAAAGGTAATGGGATGGGAGATCTCAAATTAACTCGTAACCTATATTATTACAGCTCACACCTTTGACTAAACTATCTTATAACTGTTATGCGATTGTCGATTGTTTTGTAGCAGCAACTGTTTAGGGAGACTAAACGGTTTTGCGATAGTTTAGTCAAAGTGTGCACGCTATTAGTGCACATTTTGCATTTGATAACAATGAAAGTGTGAAAGCATTTGAGTGACAACTCTCGTAACACTTGTCTATTCCATCTCTTTTTTACTCTTTGTTAAAACAGAAACAAAAAACCCAATTGGCTTAGGAATAGATATCTTTTGTTTCGTATTCTTCTACTGAGTGTGATATGGCTTTTTTATTTTATTTTTAATTAAAGTTCTTTACCAAGTGTTACGTTAGTTTTGCATGTTACCTGGCGGAGCTGTAGGTGCTACTTCCTTTGGAGGCTGGGTGTTACTCTTTCCGAAGGTTGTAAGTGCCTCTGATGATTCCCCTGTCAGCCAACCGACCAGCAGCAGTGGCAGAATGGCGGCCGCTGCTTGTTTTCTGCACCACATCTCGATCTTCCACAATACACGCATTGTGTGTGACAAGATTTATAATTTATGGTCAAATTTTTCGTCTCTCTCACTCGGATGTGATTGGAACACTTTATTACGAGTGATTAGAGAGAGAGAATGGCATTTGATTTTATTTCAATATACTTCTATTTATTGAATAATCTTGATGTTTTTATACGAAATTGTTTTTATACAAAAAACTGAGCTAAAGAAGATCAATAATTGATTAGACAAAGATATAAATTGAAACATCCGTTTGCTTCGTTCCAAATTCAAGCGTAAAGTATTTTTTTTTAATTTTGTAAGTATTTCTTAGGACAACGGGATCAAGATGTGGTGTTCAGTATATTTTAGCGTCGTAATGTCACGTGTCAAGTGAATGATAGTGTTGGGAATCGGTTGAAGTTTTGAATCGTTTTTCAAGTGTCAACTAAAAAGCGACAACTGTCAAAATGACAGAGTCTTTATAACTTAATGTATTTATGATCGTGTAACTTGTAAGCTGTACTTAATGATGCACATGCATGATGTGTGCTTGTTTGTATGTTTCGTATTAATCGTGAGTTTCTACTGTCTAAACACCTGTACAAAACATATTTTACCCGACTGACTCAGGAAGACATTTTGGTGTCTATTTTTTGTATGTACTCAAATTCCATTGCGACTTGTAGGTTAAAGGACTGAACCGATATTGACAACTTAGGTTTTTCGATATTTATAAGGTGGCAAAAGATTTAAAGGCCACTTCAATTCACCGAAATAACAAAGCGGTGGGTCCATAAATGAAACAGAATTGCTGCCTTGCCTTTAATCTGCAAAACTAGGAAACGCATAAGAAGAACACATATCCCTTTTCCACGCATCTTATCAGTCAAATCCACTTTGCCCTTATTTGCTTATAAGAAAAGGGAAGGAAAGTGGAATAAAATCAGGATTACGGCACACATACTCATATCATTGGAGTTTCTTCAACTTGACGCCTGTCTTTTGTGCGGTAGTGATGTTTTAAAGCGAATATCCCATTCCAACAATTGGTGTTATTACGGGCTTTACTAATGTAGTATTAGATTCGTATTCATCTACATTTCATACTTAAAAGCTACAATCGTTTGAACATTTTGAAACGAACGCGGAACAAATACCAATACGCTGCTTGTAAATGTATCTGTATAAAATAGGTTGGTTACTGATACACGGATATCTTTTTATTATACCTTCGATTGTTGTCTGCTATCTAATATGTAGGAAGAGGTGGAGTTTGTTCGTTGCAATTAACAAAGCAATCCTGAAGTGGAACAGCGCGTATTTCCGACACTACCGTCAGTCGAGTTTGTGTTAATAACCAATGTTTACAGGTGTTGACAGTGAAAATTCAAAGTGATTTTGACATTATATAGTAATATCTTACCGGGTGATGGCGTGGGCGTCACAGGTTTCGGTGTTTCAGTGTTCGCTTTGCCGAATGACGAGATGCCAAAGCTTTCGGCTGACTGTACGAAGAGCCAGCCGAGTAACATTACTGTTAATTTAGTATTCATTTTGTCACTTGTTTGTGTACGTTGTATTTTTTGTTTCTTTTCGTATGTTGGTACTTTTGGATTTTGTATTTTTAATTATTAAAGTGTGCTGAAATATGTTTGACAGATGACAAAGATTAATTGTCAAGTTTTTTTACCTAAATCGATTATAACGTAATTGGAATTTTACCGCGTTTTATTTAGGTTGAGTTTTGTGTTTATTTCAAAGAAGTTGTCGTGTTTGATTGATTTTTAATTGTCTACATTTCTGTGCGTGTTCATATCGGTTGTGGTTTTGTTGGCTTATTATAGTGTTTGCTTTCTGTATTTCCATACTCTTTGTATACAAAACTGACATATAATTGAAATGTCAAACGGAACCCTCCCGAGTCATTCGGGTAAATAAAAAAACCAATTTCGAAATAGACCGCATTATTTACAAGCCAATTTAAGAAAATTCAATTTAGAATAATTCAAATTTGTGCAATGCCCCATTTACGGAAAAAAATCTTACCCAAAGGAATTCTTGTTGGAGAATGAACCGAAGTTTCTAGTCCATATAAACCAAGATTTGGTATAATTCTATACGACCCATCACTATAACTAACAATCAATAGTGGCAGAATGACATTTAAACTTTGCCTCATTTTTAAAAAGTTAACCTGCCAAATAGTCATGGAACTTTGCTATTATTTTTAGGTTATTTTAATTTTACAAGATTACAATTACTAGTGTATTTATGTTTAATTTTTAAATAGGTAAAGATTTCTTTCTATCGAATGGGACAGTTTTTAATAAAGAAATTGTGCGATTAAATTTAAATATGTGGTTTAAGAAATGTGATTTACATTGTGATTTTTTTCTGTGTAACAAGAAATAGTGCGTCCCATTATGGATTAAAAAAAATCTTTACCAGGCGGCGGTCTGGGTGTTGCTGGCGCAGGAGGTTTTGTATTCGACACACCAAATGTACTCAAACCGTTACTTTCGAAATTCAAACACGTTAGCGTCAAAATAACCGTCAATTTACACCACATCTCGAGCGCTTTAAGGTCCGTTTCCTCTGTTTGAATTTGCAACGACTTTTTCACTAAAGCGAATATTATGAAAAAAAGTTTTGTTAAGCGATATTTTAAATTGCGGAATCGATAGAAATGAAAAAATAATAGGAAACCTTTGGAAATTTATTTTTATAAGTGAACATACTTTTACGGACATTTTGTATAATCAATTTAAAAGCAAACTTGTGAATATAACCATAGACAATAAATGGTAAATATAATTTTCATTTCTATTGAAATCTACTGAATAGACTTTGCAAGACATAAATGAATTATATTGATTTTTTTACAACTTGGTCAAAGATGAGGCAACAAAATATTTAAAAACTAAACTGAGAAGTTACGTATAACAATTACATATTCTAAATCACATCTATACTATAAAGGGGAAAGATTTTTATTGTTGTATGTATTGAAATAACTCAAAAACTACTGGACCGATTTCAAAAATTCTTTCACCATTAGGAAGGTAATTTATCCGTGAGTAACATAGGCTACATTTTTTAATTTCAAGCGGGCGAAGTCGCGAGCAACAGTGTCTTATAAAATGGGAAAGATTTGTATTTTTATATCTAACGATTAATTTTAAAAACAATTGAAACGACTAAAAATTCTTTTGTCATTAAAAAGTTGTATTTTCACTGAACAATTGTTTTTTTTTAATTCCAGGCGGACGAAATCTCTAGCAAAAGGTAATGGAACAGAGCCAAGTAATTAAATTTGTATTTAAATTTTTCGATCGCTATTTCAGAAACATGAATCCTGTTTATCTATACTTCTATACTATTATAATAAAGCGTAAACACACACTTCATTGTTGCCTAAGATGTCAGCAATTACACCATATTTTTTAATAATTCTTTCTTTAATAGAAAGCCCTACACTTACGACACGCTTATTTTAACACTATTAAACTTAAGGGGTTAATATTTTGGATAAAAACCTTAATGTGGGAAAGTGACCATACAGTACAATCTGCCAACATCAAGGAAGCGAAATTGGCATGGTACGGTAATTTGTATTTTGACATTTGCAATTGAGAATTTTAACAATTTTAAACATTAAATTTTTTATAATTTCATGCGGATGAAAACGCACGGAAACAACTAGTTTAAAAATAATACAATTTACCATAGATTACCTATGTAGAAATAACTGTAAAAATATCAAAGATGTTTTTAAGTTTTTTTCAGGCATAAAAAATTTTGCTAAATTGCCTAGTTTTTACAAAGTTGACAAAATACTCTTGTTCTTTTTTACCTTGCAGAGTCTAAAAGTTAAAATTAAAACATTTGTAGATAGTAAACGCTGTGCTTATAAATATACAAATAATAGAAAAAAACTTAATTAAAAGTAACAAATAGAAAAGACGAAAATTACAATTGGCAAAACTGTGTAAGCACGGACGTACCCTGTCTTTTCTAAAAGCAGGATATCTTTTTAAGCTCTCCTCCCCCCATATAATATAATAAAAAAATACATTGAAAGGGGACAAACAATTGCCTAAACTTTTTTGACGATTTGCCATTATAATATTATTTTGGCCTATCTATCCTATTATTATAAAGAGGAGAAGAATGTATTTTTTAATATCTCAAAAATCTAGGCCGGTTTTCAAAAATTCTCTCACCATTAAAAATCTAGGTTATCACTGAGTAACATAGGCCGAGTATTTTTTTATTTTTTTTAATTCTGCACACGAAATCGCGAGCTTCGGCTCGTAAACTTATAAAGAAACGATCCGTTGGAAATTAATTTTGAACGCTAATAAAAATATTTTTCGATGACAATACGGATATTGTTTTATTGTACAATATATACAATTACAAGTACGTAGTAATCCAATTCCTGTTAGCCAGTAACTATCATGAAAAAAATCTTAAAAAAAAAACATTTTGATATCAGAAACTTTCTTACCTTTGCACTTCCTTTTTATAAATGCAACACATAAAGGGAAAGTGAAAATATTTAAATAACTAACTATACCTTTAAATTAAGAAGGATTCATAGTTTTTGCCCGCGACTTCGTCCGAGCAGAATTAAGAAAAAAATTACCAATAACCATCCACTTTGTTCTATGTCTGTGTCAAATTTGACATCCTATTTTTTTCTAATTTATACTTCCATTGATGAACAAAAATGTTACCAAGGGATATAGGAGTCGTTTTTACACGACAAAGATATATTTTTTTTATCTTAAATAAACTAAATAATATTTTTTACATCGAATTTCTTTGAGTTATATCAAATTATTGTTCAATTAACGACAAATAGAATATTAAAATTAAAATTTTACATTACTTAAATTCAATGAATAAAAACTGTAACGTTTAGACACACTCTAGAATAAATATACTACTAAAATACGAAGTATTACAAAAATACGCATTTGTTATCATACGTCCTGTCCAGATAATATTAAAAAGACAAAAAAACCACAGATAAATAACTATTACGCAAACATCAATGATAGTGTTATAATTTAAATAATTCAAATTAATATTCTACATATAAAATAAACAAAAAATGTAAAAAAGAGGCGTAAAAAAAACAAAAAAAATCGTAGTGCAAATAACCCTTAAATTAAAGTGTCAGACAAAGCTAGTGCGGAAGCGTATTAGTCGCGTTTATATGTTTTTTATATGTTTATTTTATTGCATTGGACATTTTTTTAGATTTTTTTTTCGTTTAAATTTTTTTGTTAGTTAACACTGGTTAGTCAAAAGGTAGTTACAGTTGGGCTGGGCTGCGTGCTACACTTGCGAAGTTAACCGCGGGACTAAAGTACGTGGTGTTTCTTCAAGCAAGGTTACTTCTTCGAATACAGGGTGTTGTTTTAAAGAGGAAATAATTTTATGTATAAACTCACAAACTACTACACCCGTTTTTTTTTGTCCTTAAAAACTAAATTACAACTGAGTAACATCAGTACATACAAATATTATAAATGCGAAAGTTTAGATAGATGGATGGAAGTTTGTAGCCTGCAGGGCTGAAAGGATTTCTATGAAATAGATACAGATGTAGACGAAACTCTGGAAGAACTTGTTATTATTCTGCGTGAACAAATCTCGGGAAAAGTCTTTAAAGCATGATATAGAATTTAACGTAATCCTACCTGTTAATTGATTTACTCTAAAGCGAAGCGTTTTTTTTAAAAAAATTAAAGAGTTTAATCTTATTTGGTCATACGTAATGGGAGAGTTGCTGTTATCGCGGTTAGTTAGAGATAAACAAGTCAATAGGTACTTACAAAACTTTCGTTCGACAAACTATATAAATTATAGCACGGCTCAACTCACATGACCTTTGGTGTAGGCATCGAACAGTTTCAGACCCGTTGGTGGTCCTTCTTCAGCTTGAGAAGGATTCATATAAGCTCCTTCAGAAGAAGGACCCTCGACGGATCTAGAATTGGTCGGTGCCTACACCAAGGTTGTCACGTGAGTTGAGCCATGTTATCTATACTTTTATTATAAAGCGTAAACACACTTCTTTGTTGCCTAAGATGTGAGTAATTACAGCTTATTTTTGAAAAATTATTTTTTTAATAAAAAGCCCCACACTTACGTCACGCTTTAGGCTATATATTTTCAGGCCATTGTTTAATGCCCAAGTTTTTAAGGGGTAAATATTTAGGATAAAAACCCTAATGTGGGAAAGGGACCATAAGTTGCTGTCAACATCAAGGACGGTTGCCAAGCTTTGTCAATGAGGATGAAGCCGCACGGGAACAGCTAGTAATTTATTTTTGACCTATATATTTAATTTGAAGCTTATTTAAAGTGCAAGTATAATTTTTAATGGCCACCACAAAGGTCAAATGATAATCGAAAATTATAATAAAGAGACAACATCCTGTATATTAATATAAAATTGGGGGAACACCACCAACCCCCACTGACGTAGCAACGACGACACGCGTTAAAGAAAGTTGCCATTTCACTTGCTAGTGTATAATTATTTTTGACGTAACAAAACTACATGTAAAAGTCCAACTATCATAATCAAAGGCATGATTATACAGTGGTAGAGTCCGCTTTTACATCCTCGCACGAATGGGTCGGCTCGTCCCAGCAATACCACGACCAAATAGAAGACAGGCGTGAAGTGAAAGTAATTCCGCGTTTCGTCTGATGAGTGTGGTGCTGGAGGCCCAATTTTAGTCCCTTTCCCTTCCACTCTTTTCTCATAAGAAAAGGATTGGATGAGAAAATAAATTTGACGGTGCAGGAGACGCATAGGAAGGGTATACATATATCCTTTTTATGTGTGTCTCCTCCTCCGTTGTTTTAGGGTAACGCAACGCATCCGCTATTGCGGATGTCTATGGGCAGCGGTCGCTTCACCATTTTGGCGAATTTAGGTGACCGCTTGCTCGTTTGCCACCTTATAGTATATAAAAAAGACGTAAAATATATAGACAGTGACCAATATATTTTTACTGGCACTTTCTCTAAAAGGTACTCAATCAGTAGTCAAGTTTAGTGCCGTTTTATTACAATAATACATTTTTATAAAAATTAGAATAAGCGCCATCTCTTGTTATAAAAAATACAACAACATAGACAATATCTTTTGAAAATACTTCAATTCCGATCATCGTTATGAGCAATTTCATTCACAGAGGGTACAAAGTTTATACTTAAAGTATTTTTTTTTTTCAAATTCTTGCTTATTAAATGCGAAATGAATGGATGGATGTTTCTTAACTCTAGAATGCATATGGATATTTGCTGTAGATATAAAATTACGTTGATTTTTTTATGGCAGTTCAATTTACACTGGTCGTATAGTATGCGTGTTAGGCTGTTAGTTGTACGTAACTAGGGGTGTCAACTTATAACAAAAGTTCTACATTAAAATAAAACAATATCCAATGACGTCACACATCCATAGAAACAAAAAACGTCAAACATGGCGGATATGAAAATATTTAATTATTCGATTATTTTGCAAAAAATCTTACTAATATTATAAATGCGAAAGTTTAGATGGATAAATGGATAGATGGATGGATGGATGGATGTTTGTTAGCGTTTGTAGCCTAAACGGCTGAACGGATCTCTTTGAAATTTGGCACAGGTTTAGAGCATAGTCTGGAAGAACACATAGGCTACTTTTTATCCCGGGAATAGTTACGGTTCCCGTGAGATTCATTAATTAAGTTTTTTAATGTTTACTCGATAATTCTGCAACGGTTCAACATATCTTATTGAAATTTGGCACAGATATAAAACAAAGTGTGGAGTACACAAGGAATAAGCTTCATCCCCGAGAAATGTCCGGTTCCCGAGGGATACGTAACTTATTGTAATTTATATAGTTCGTGTGTTTTCTAATACCACGCTGACGAAGTCGCGGGCAACAGCTCGTATAAAATAAAGTGAGGTTATGTTGTAAAATAAGAGTTATTAATATTAAATAGTAATATGAGAAAAAGTGTTTTACCAGAAAAATATTGGATTTATAGATTTAATGCTTACTATGACATAACAAATCAAATAATTTTAAATAAACAAATTCGAACTCACAGCCCTAGTAGTTGTTAAAGTGAGCCCATTTACAGCCTGATACGCTATACCTTGATTTTTATTTAATACAAAAACCTTCAAGACTACGAAGTAAAAAATGTTACAAGTATAAAGAAAAAAAACAAAAGAATGCCTAAAAAACGCAGGCCGGCAACGCATCGACAGCAGAATTTACGAATCTATTATACTATTATAATAAAGCGTAAACACACACTTTTTTGTTGCATAAGATGTCAGCAATTACAGCATATTTTTGAATGATTATACTTGTAATAAAAAGCCCTACACTGACGTCACGCTTTAGGCTATATATTTTCACGCCGTTAAACCTAGGGGTTAATATTTTGGATAAAAACCCTAATGTGGGAAAGAGACCATAAGTTGCTGCCAACATCAAGGAAGTAAGATTGCCATAGTAAGGTAATTGGTATTTTGACATTTGCAATTTATTTTTTGACACATGTAAACAATAAAATAAACTTTTCATATTTTTTAAGTCGCAGGGGAATAGCTAGTTATAGAATAAAATTAACAACATATTCAATATCGTGCGATTAGTATTTAGTGGAAAAAGACTTAATTCCTACAAGCTTCGTGAAATGTTTATTCGTTAAACAAAATGGCGCCCATCACTTGTCACCTGTCAATGTCAAATTGCGCGCCATTATCGTAATTGAAGTTAGATTTACGAAGAAATTATAGTTGTTTTTTGAACTAAATTAAGAATCTATTTAAAACGTTTCTGTTGTGATTATAGTTAAACTAGCTTTCCCCCGCGACTCTGTCCGCGTGGAATTAAAAAAAAAACAAAAGTGAGTAGCCTGTGTTCTTCCAGACATATATGCCAAATTTCATCGCATGTCGTTCAGCCGTTTAGACTACAAACTTTAACAAACATCCATCCATGTAAACTTTCGCATTTATAATGTTAGTATTAGTATTGGGAATTTTATTTTGTTAAATTCGGTAGAAGTATGAGATTTCTAAGAAAAACGCGTATGAAATAGACATGTTTTTGTTCTACAAAAAGTCCAATAAATTCTAGAACATTCCTTAAATTATGCCACAAAACGAAAAAAAAAACAATTAAAAACCGCAAGAAAAACATTCAGCCTGTCAAATAAATGCTCATTTGTACACAGATTAAATAGTTAAATTAAAACTCGTTTATTACACTTTTTTTTTTAATTTTCGTCCAACAACCACCGGCATTATAACCGAAAATTCCTAAATTAACATACAAAGGGCAGGCACGCACGGCTTGCATGGAACGAGAAACGATTAAAAAAATAATCGAACTTTAAATATAGCAAACGAAATTCAACTCTATTTCCTAACCAATACAGTTTAAAAACACATAAATACTGCTGCAATTTAAATATTAATCAATGGCATTTCAAAACTACTCAAGTACAAAACTAAATAAATGAAAAATCAACCTTAAAATTAAGACATAACGTTGAAATTCATTTAAAAGCAATAACTGACGTAACAAATAATTCTAATAAGAAAATCTATTAACGGATTATAAGCTCTATTTTAAGTGAATAAGGTTGACAATTGTGTAAACATAAATTGCAAGTTTTTTTAAAGTTCACGCGAGGATGTCGTGTTATGCCAAAGGTCAAATGTACAAAATGCCCCAACAGAACACAATAATTTTGTGTTGTTAATAATTAAAAATGTCAGAACAAAGGAAATAAAAATACATTTAATTAACATTAGCTACCAAAGTTTAGAACAAAACTATTGCTTTGCTGAAGATATGTTAGAGAACGCAGTGACTTAAGATCCACCGACATGGAAAGCGACCGCTGCATAAACATTCGCAATTGCAGCGTTGCCTACCCTTCATTGACTGAGACGCACATAAAGAGGACATTTTCCCTTCCTATGCGTCTCCACCGTCAAATCTACTTTTCCTTCCCATCCCTCCTATGAAGAAAAGGGTGGAAACGGCAAGGGTATATAATTTGGGCTCCGGCACCACACTCATCAGACGAAACGCGGAACCGCTTTCACTTCACGCCTGTTTCTATGGGGTCTTGGTATTGCTGGGACGATCCGGCCCTACACTGCGAAGATGTTAAAGCCGGGTCTATCACTGTCCTACTATAGCTTTATTATGCTATAAACGATAAAATAAAAAACAAATTAACTATATACAAAATTTTATTATTTACATTTTACAATTTAACAGCTGTGTAGAAACAAAGTCAATTCCCGCTTATTTATTTTACTTTTTTTTCTTACAAAAACTACGTTTTTACAAAATGAATTATAACCAGCACGCTATTTTCTTCGTTGTTTAATTGTTATATCCTTACCTAAATAAATGCGTTTGTTATCAGGAGAATTTAATGTAGAATAAAATTGTCCTTTACAGTATTTAAATTGGACTAATAGCTTAGAAGATATCGCGAACACAAACTTAGTAACCGAAAAATCAGCTACCGGGTTTAGAAATTTGAAGCTGTCATCAGTTAATTACTGTTATTACGTAAATTATGTATTTACCAAAGAAATGTTTACTCTATCCTTTTTTAAATACAATAACAAAAAGATTCTTAAATTTAATTACAAATAGTGTAAATTAAAGAAATAGCGAATGTGGCGAAACTGACTGCAAATCTTGTACCAGAAGAGGCTGAAAATAAACAATGAAATATATCAAAATTACATTTTGTTAAATAAAATCCACATTATACTTTAATAGTGAAATAGCGCCATCTATTGTTTGCATTTTAAAACAAATGTTTTAATTTTAAACCAAACTGTTATTCTATAAAATACTTTCTTATTTTAAAATGTCTTAGAAAACACTGATCACTATAATGTGCTAATACATTATTACTGTTCTATACTAATACAAAGCGGAAATATTTTAGTAACGAATTAACTCAAAAACTGAAGCGATTTCAAAAATTCTATCACATTTAGAAAGCGACATTATCACTAGAAGACAGAATCAAAGACATTTAAGAAATACATAGAATAAACAGTGAACAATATTTTTCACCGGTAACTTCTTTGAAAGGTACTACGATAGTTGTCAAGTCTAGTGCCGTCTCGTGTAGTATTGACATACTTTAAAACAATTTATAAAATTAAAGCTCCATTTTTTGTTATAAAGTAATAAAAAAATAAACATAATTTAGCGACATCTATTGTCGAATAATTTAAATTATACCGACAAGTTTTGAGGATCTATCAAGAGATGGCGTTAGAAATTCTTTTGAAAAATGTCTTAAGTGAAGTGTCAACTATGCTTTAGTTACATAAATTTTGAACTTATACGAGTAAAAATACTCACTACAGGTATGCAGTTGTTCAGAGTATGGGAAATCAAATCCACATTGACATAGTCCATTCCTGCATACCACTCTGTCTGTTATATCCGCTAAGTAACATTCACTGCTGCGACTGCAAGCTTCGAAAAGACCTGAAAAATATCAAAAGAATCTATCCTGATGTCCATCCAGATGTCCATCACAGCATCATTTTGAATAATTCTTTCTTTAATAAAAAGTCCTACACTTACACTCTTTAGGCTATATATTTTCACAGTATTAACCTTAGGGGGTAAATAAATTGGAAAAAACTGTTGTAAATGAAACCTATTTGATGTTTTGCAGTGTAAGAGTGGCTGTATTTAAATAATGACATATGTTAATTTAATTTGAGTTTTTCGAGAATGTAGAGAAAAAGAACATCTCTAGAATAGTATAAAAATAATATCTTGTTTTTATACACAGTTGTATTACTATTAATTTATATGAGAATAAATAACAAACTTTATTTATTTAATCGTTTTGTGTGCTGGCTAAACCAAATTCCTATCAAAAACCATCACGTGAGAAAGGGATCATAAACTGCCAACTACCAAGGAAGCAAGGTTATTATGGTAACGGTAATTTTGACATTAACAATTGAGAATTTGACAAATGTAAACAAGAAAGTAAAGTTTTTTTTATAATTTCATGTAGATGAAGCTGTAAGAGTACATCTAATTCGTAATATCTACAAACTATGAAACTATGAACTATCCCACAACTGTCAAATAAAATGTGTCTTTTGTATTACACGTAAATTATAAGATTTCTTATGTAATCACCTGTCATAGGCCAGCAACCGCCATCTTTGTAATGGAATGTATTCATACATTCGCAACGTCCATCCAAACATGAGCTGAACTCTCCCAATACTGACGTGCATTGTGCTGTCACATTACAAACGGTACCATGTCCTAGAGATTCTGTAGAACAAACAAAACAAATGATAATTGGCTTAAAATAAATATAAATATTATAAATGCGAAAGTTACGATGGATGAATGTTTGTTAGCGTTTGTAGCCTAAACGGCTGAACGAATCTCCATGAAATTTGGCACAAGGTTAGATCATTAGTCCGGAAGAACACATAGGCTACTTTTTAACCCGGGAATAGTTACAATCCTTGTGGGATTTATTTATTTAGTTTTTTAATGTTTACTCGATCATTCTGCAACGGTTCAACATATCTTATTGAAATTTGGCACAGATAAAAAACAAAGTCTGGAGTACACATGAGATAAGGTTCATCTTCGAGAAATGTCCGGTTCCCGAGGGGTACTTTTTGTTTTTATACAGTTCGTATGTTTTCTACCACGCGGACGAAGTCGCGGGCAACAACTAACAACTAGTAAACAATGAATACAACTGGCTATTAGACTGGCTATATGATTGTAATGTATAGATTACAACGCCATCTATTGCTAGTAGTTGGAAACAAAAAACTAAAGTACATAGTGGTGACGTTAAAATTTAAAAATTCACAACGGACTGTATTTCTATAATCGTGAAGTAGAATAATCGTACTAATACTATAAATAGTGGTAGAGAAGGTAAGGAGTAAAAGGTTAGCATGAGGGCATGTTATGAGGAGGGATGAATCGCATGATACAAGGCGAACGTTATGAGTGTGGAGGTACATCGGTAGAGGTAGACTGAAAGAGATGTATTGCGTGAAAGGTGACATGATCAAGGAGTGATGACAGATGACGTATGATAGAGTTTGGAGGACAAAAACCTGTTGCGACCTACGAGAGTAGGATAAGGAGAAAGATGATGATGATGATTGTAAATGCGAAAGTTTAGATGGATGTTTGTTAGAGTTTGTAGCCTAAACTGCTGAACGGATTTCGATAAAATTTGGTACAGATGTAGAAAATAGTCTGGAAGAACACATAGACTATTCAGTTTTGTTTTTTTAACTGCCACGAAGACGGTGTCGCGAGCGAAAGCTACAAACATATAACATACATTGCTTGTTATCTTACACTAAATAAATAATAACACAACACCTGGCCAGCATTGATCATCGTATTCAACGAAGCTATCGCGGCATTGACATGTTTGAGTACCGTTGTTGTTTTGACAGATGGTTTCAGGAATCACGCAGTCAGTATCCAATAAGCAAATACCACCAATCACTGAAAACAGAAAATCAAGAATTTATGCCGGAGGCCTAACTTTAGTCCCTATCCCTTTCCACCCTTTTCTGAAGAGGAAAGGATGGGAAGGAAAGTGGATTTGACGGTGGAGGAGACGCGTAGGAAGGGGAGATGTGCTCTTTATGTGCGTCTCCTCCGTCAATGAAGGGTAGGCAACGCATCTGTAATTGCTGATGTTTAGGGCAGCGGCCGCTTTCCATTTCGGTGGATTCAGGCCGCTTTTGTTTTATTATTCATTTCCATTCAAAAAATTTTATTTTATTATTCGCATGTGTCAAATTATCAATTGCAAACGTCAAAATGATATGACTTGATGACAACATTGCTTCCTTGATGTTGGCAGCAACTTATGGTCTCTTTTACACATTAGGGTTTTTATCCAAATTATTTACCCCCTAAGTTTAATGGTATGAAAATATACAGCCTAAAGCGTGTCATAAGTGTTGGGCTTTTTATTAACAAAAGAATTATTAAAAAATATGCTGTAATTACTGACATCTTAGGCAACAAAGTATTAAGTTTACGCTTTATTATATTAGTATAGATATAGATTTAGACAGGGTAAACTAACAATTCATATTAATTTAATGAGAAAGACAGTTAAACTTACCAGGAGCACATAAGTTTCCGTCTTCTTGATATCCGTCGCCGCAAACACAGCGGCCATTCTCGCAGACCGCGTGCTCTGCGCCCGTACATTCAGCTGTTACTTGACAGGCATCTCCTAGCTCTGGAATTAAATAAAATAAGCCTTTATTACTTTTTTTGAATTAAAATAATGTTGTACAATAACATGCTACTAGCTTTCGCCCGAGAATCCGTCTGAGTAGAATTAACAAAAAACAAAAGCGAGTAGCTTATGTGTTCTTCCAGACTCTACATCTATTCCAAACATCGAATTCCCTTCAGCCGCTTAGGCTACAAACTTTAACAAACATCTATCTATCCATCTATAATATTAGTAAGATTTGAATTTAAGGACAATCTATGCGAAAATCAGAGATATAACCTAAAAACATACTAAGCCTAATTGGACAACATTTTAAAAATTCAGACGAAAAATGCTAATGAATTAGAATTCGTTAACTCAGTCACACGTGTGAGACTTTAAAGCTTAACACTGAAAGGATAAAGTCTATAATCGTGTGCTGATAATTTGGAATTTATGGAACATATCGACGTACAGAAATCGGATTCAGATGTCTTAAAAGCTTGCTCTGAAGTTGTTATGCAATAGTTGAATTATAGAATACGTCAATAGATGGCGTTGTAAAAGTTTTTTTATTTATCATTGCTATTTCGCTAGATGGCGTTGAAATTAAATAATATTTGATTGGTATCTCTCCGTATGAATTCTATTGTACACAAATACTTTACCCAGTCCTGTAGTAAGACATAAACCATCGACTTCTTGTAAGTCATCAGGACACGTGCAGTATCCCTGGCCAACTTCATTCTGTACACACTGAATCTCTAATTCACCAGCCAAACAATCGCTGTCCACTTCGCACGTTTCTCCAAGACCTGAGGATGAAAGAGACGGAATTATTTTTTTATATCATATGGTGGCAAACAAGCAAGCGGCCTGAAACTGTCGAAGCGACTGCCCATAGACATTCGCAATAGCGATTTGTTGCCTATCCTTAATCTAAGGAGAAGGAAACGCACACAAAGAGGACATTTTCCTTTCCTAGGCGACTCCTCTAGCATTAAATCCACGTTCGCTTCCCATCGTTTTCTTATAAGAAAAAGGCTAGGCGGAAAAGAGACTAAAGTTGGGCCTCCAGCACCACACTCATCAGACGAAACGCGGAATCGCTTCCACTTTACGCCTGTCTTCTGTGTCTTCGTGATATGACACTATGCGAGCTCCTTTCATACAAGGATGTTAAAGTGTACTGTACCATTGTTAAGTTAGGGTCTTTGGAGCTTCAGTGGGGCATCGCGGTGGCAAGTGATAGCGATCCCGTCGCGCCCCACACAATGGCCAGGAGGGAACGGAGGGGTTTAGTGAGGTATGCCCCATACTATGGGGGGAGAGTCCCACATAACTCTCGAGCCTGCCCCGAGGCATGGAATATGCGTAACGTATTCCCCTTTGGAAAAAAAGGGTCATTGGAGCTATGCCTATCTTCAGTGACCAGTACTTACCAGCGAACAACCTGCACATATCTCTTCTTGCGTCCCAAACTGCGTATTCCGGGATGCATTCACAGGTCCTGAATCCCCAGGGAGCTTGAGGAGGTCCACAACGGGACGCCGCACCGAAAGTATGGCAATTATCATCAGTCACACATGACTCGTTGAAACGACGTGTTACTGGAAGTACAAAGATATACATGATTAAAAGAATAATAATTTTTAATCTTCATTAATAAGAATCTTACTGATATTATAAAAGCGAAAGTTTAGATAGATGTTTGTTAGAGTTTGTAGCCTAAACTGCTGAACGGATCTCGATTAAATTTGGCATAGATGTAGAGGATAGTCTGGAAGAAGACATAGGCTACTTATATTTGTTTTTTGGAATCCCACGCGGACGGAGTCGCGGGCGAAAGCTAGTGATATAATAAAGCGTAAACAGACACACACACGTACATCGTGGCGTAGGGTTCTTTATTTAATAATAAGCCCTAAACTTACGACACGCTTTAGGCTATACATTTTCACGCTATTAAACTTAGGGAGTAAATAATTTGCTTGTAACGGTATTTGTTATCCAATGTAAGAGGTCTTCGTTGTCTATGCATTTGAATTTTGACACAATTGGAAATATAGAAGCCGCACGGAAACAGCTCGTTTTGTTATAAATGTATTTAGTCAACGAAAATTTACGTAATTGCAAAATAATTCAAGAAATTTATCGTACTTACCTCTTACACAATCTCTCATGTTTCTATCAAAGAAGAAATTGGGTGGGCAAGTACAGACGCCGTCCACGACTACCGCTAGCAGACCCGCGCATTGCTCTTCAGTCGATGGCGACGCGAGCTCTAAACAGACAAAACGTTATGTTATACAAATATGGAAGGAGCTTAGAACAGCTACAGAAGTAAAGACTTGCAAAAAAACATCTTTGACTTAACTAGCGCAAAACTGTCCAGTCTCCCATTGCATGAACTAAATATAACTAAACTAAAACTAACAACTAAATATCGAGTTATGCATTCCCATGCATAACTCGATATTTAGTTGTGCAACTAAACTTTTTTTTTATTACATAAGGTGGCAAACGAGCAAGCGGCCACCTAAAACCGCCAAAATGGTGAAGCGACTGCCCATAGACATCCGCAATTGCAGATGCGTTGCCTACCCTTATACGACGGAGGAGACACACATAAAGAGGATATTTCCCCTTCCTATGCATCTCCTCCACCGTCAAATCCACTTCCTCTACCCAACCTCTCCTTATAAGAAAAGGGTGGTAAAGAGAAAGTGACTTAAATTAGGCCTCCGGCACCACACTCATCAGACGAAACACGGAATTGCGTCCATTTCACGGCTGTCTTCTGTGTGGTCGTGGTATTACACCGGGCGTGCCGACCCATTCGTGCTAAGATGTTAAAGCGGGCACTACCACTTTAGTGGTAAACAGTTGAAGGCTGCGAAATAATCGATTGTTGTTTTTTATTGAAAACAGTTTTTTTAAAAATTTTTTTCTAATTCATTAACAAATTCTGTAAATTTTGTTTTGTTGTTTTTTTGTTTTGTTTTTGTATCTTTCTTGGCCAATAAATAGTGTTTTTATTTTTTTATTTTATTTATAGGCTAGTCAAAGCTACATAGTGGGACCACAGGGAGAGTGAGTGCGGAAAGTTCCAGTGTGTTGCTTGGAGGTCCCGGAACCTTCGTCTATGTCACTAGAGGATGGCTACCGAGGGAGTTTTGGTGGGTTAAATCCTACATAACCCTGCCTTTCCAGAAGGCAAGGTATCTTTTGAAGATTTCCTCCCCGACAATCAAAAAAAAGGTAAGTCAAAGGCGCTCTTAACATCGAATTTCATGGTTACTGTAGGTTATAATTTTATAAATTTAATTTAAATAAACGCACGTATACTATTTCACGGTTTTTTTTTTTGTAGATTGTTACTGTTGCTGTTGCATGATTTCACACACTGGTCGATGCGAGGGCGCATAAGACGTTGCGCTGACTGATTTTAGGGGCGGTCTTGTACGTTGAGTGGGAGAAACGCGGATCGGTTTCGCAGCCCAGCAAAAAGCGCTGTTTAGCGAACAGTTACTTACCAGCTAAACAAGTCGAATTCCCTTCAACATAATATCCTAAAGGACAGATACACACTCCGAATGGCGAACATTCGTAAGGTTGGGGACATTTGTTGACAGCGTCACATGTAAGTATTCCGCCATCTTGTTCTATTACGTCCGCCATCTTGTTAGAATTGTCATTTTCTAATTCTAATCCTAGTGCTTCTGGATTGGTAGCATTTACATCTGTAACATATGATTTTTTACCTTACATTCTAATATTATAAATGCGAAAGTTTAGATGGATGTTTGTTATAGTTTATAGCCTAAACTGCTCAACAGATTTCCATGAAATTTGGTGTAGATGTAGAGGGTAGTCTGGAGCACATTGGCTACTCATTTTTGTTCTTTATTTTAAAGCTAGTTTTTTAATGAAGTGTCGATAGAAAATAACTATTTGATACACTTACCATTGACATCATAACATCTAAAAGAGGTCACATCACAGGCTCCGTTAGAAAACTGGCAATCTTCATTTACAACACAACCATCTCCAACAGCTGAAAAAAAAAGCTATGTTATAGTTTGTCTAAATAAATTAGATTACTTTGATAAATGACGCATATGAAGTATCGAATTCAATTTGTATCAAGGCAAATGCCGTACTTAATAGACAGGTATCGTAATGACAAAACAAACACGCAGCGAACAATTATGAACTATCGATATTCGGTTTAAATAATTATCGAACTCAACTAAAATTATTATTTTCTTATTAACAAATTTAGAGGACAATTTTATTATTGATTATAGTGTAGAGAATTTAGCGATGACAGAAATAATAGCGAAATCCAATTCGATTACGTACGGCTGTAGTAGTAATAAACATTTAGTTATTTACTCTCATTGTTTGTAATGGTCATTATTAATTTCAGAAAACAGTGGTTTTTTAATTCATAAGTTATAACTATAAATCTATCGATTCCAACTTCTATAAGAATAAAAATCGAAAATCGATAAAATTCATGACTGATTTTACATAATCATCCCTACAAAATTTGAAGTGAATTATTTCAAACACAATCAAACTAATCTAAATTATTTAGACACACTATAATAACACAAAATAAATCATTTTTAAAAAGAGTTTTATTAAGATTGGTATCAGCGCCATCTATCTCCACCAGTTAGAAACAAAACTGCCAAACCAATAGCCAAATACCAATTTCATTCCGTAATATGGGAAAAATTGCATCTGTCGATAACAAACTTACCAAGTCCTCGTTTCCTGCATTCTCCTCTCTGTCTCAAATAATAACCTTCAGCACAAACACATGTAGTGTTGCAAATCATACTGAAAGGATTCCTTATCGTGCTTAGACATTCTTCGTTCCTCGTACAAGGTTCTCCGAAGTCGGATGACCTCCAACATCTCCCGTATAAATAATGATGACCTTCTCTGCAGTCGCATACACCTTCTAGAAATATAAAGAAGGAAAAAAAATTATACTAATATACACACTGTGATGTAGGATTTCAAACATTATAAGTTATTGTATTTTTATTAAAAATCAGCTGTTCCGGCTTCATCCGCATGTAATTATGAAAATGTTATTTATTATTTACATTTGTCAAATTATCAATAGCAAATGTCAAAATGACATGACACGACAAACCCTTTCAATTTTGCTTCCTTGATGTTGGCAGCAACTTAGTCTCTTTCCCACATTAGAATTTTATCCAAAAAAATTACCCCCTAAGTTTAATGGCGTCAAAATATATAGCCTAAAGCGTGACGTAAGTTTGGGCTTTTTATTAAAAAAAGAATTATTAAAAAATAAGTTGTAATTGCTGACATCTTAGGCAACAAAGAAGTGTGTTTACGCTTTATTATAATAGTGTAGATGAGGATAGATTTGTATTTTTGTATGTATTGAAATAACTCAAAAACTGGGCCAATTTTAAAAATTCGTTCACAGTTAGAAAGGTAATTTATCTGTGAGTAACATAGGTTTTTTAATTTCATAAGCATGAAGTCGCGAGAAATATCTTGTATATCTTATTACCTGTGGCATTTTCGTTTCGTCTACATTCGTAGTTGTTGAATAATCTGAAACACTGATGATCTTCTACGCAGGTTGAGAAAAAGTATGGCGATACTGTTAAGAATAAATGCAATATTAACATCAAAGACTTTAAAATGTATACAGGTGACAACGAACAAAAATATCACCGGTACTTTCTCTAAAA